AATTTACCTTGACACCCAGCAGGAAAGTCAACAGCCAAACAATTCTCCATATTTGCAGCATTAAGCAGTTTTGTATGCAAGTCTGGTGTTACCCTTCCTGGTAACTCATTTCAGCTGTTAGTTACCATCTGACCTAAAATTTGGGTTTTGCATCTCTGAACCTGTCCTATCTATATTCACGATATACTGAATATAGGACAGGTTCAGAGATGCTGTGTACTGGCTGTATATTTTGTGCACAGCAGTGGACCATAAAAGGCCTTGAAGTGAATGACCCATTTTATCTTGGGGATTGTTGACCAGGTGAAACTCCCTTCTCTTTTCAAATAGCGTCATGGGATCTTTAAAGACCACCTGAACAAACCTTGGTTTAATGAATTGACAACAACTTGCATTTATAATAGCCGCCCTTCACGTGGGGTAGCATCCCGGAGCGCTTCACCGAGGCAGAGTCTGACAACGAGCCAAGGGGAGCGGGAGGGAGGGGGAGGTGACCGTAAGCACAATCGAAAAGGAAGGTCTTTGGAATCCTTCAAAGGACGGCACCTCCAAAAACGGAGCACAAAACGCAGAGTCAGCCTCGACTACAGGAGTTCAAAGTCCCAATGTGGGGTTTGAATCCACAACCTTCTGACTCTGAGGCAAGATTGCTACCGACTGAGTCCGACTTGATACCTGTTGTAGAATGAAAATAGAAATGAATCATATGAGCCAATTGCTATTTTTGTGGAGGAAAAGATCAGCGAGGCTTCCTGCTCCTACCAGTTATCCATGCATCCTAGTTGGAAAAATGTGTTTGCTCAATCTGTCTGCCCAACGCCACGGTCAAATAGTTTCCAGCACTCGTGCTTTGGGTCCTTTGTCATATACTCAACGGTATTATCCATTAGGATTTTGGAGTGTGAAGTCCCATAGAGCAGTGGTTAGAACGCTCGCCTCACAAGCGAGAGGACCCGAGTTTGATTCCTTGGTGGGGCGAAAGCTAAGGCAAGTTTTTTTCACTCCATCTGTCTCTGTTACTGCTAGGTAGGTTAGTCAATTAGTGGATCACTTTCCACTAATAATTCCTAAAAATAAATTGGTCACTCAATCCACGACTGTTGACATTGCTGTGCACAATTGCCTGCCACATTTCGCCCTCAAAATACACCGTTCATTCACTTTACAATATATTCTGAGGCGTGAGATTAAATAAAAAATATATAATGAATTCTATATTCTTTGAGACGTCTCGAAGACATAAGGCGCTATATCAAATGCAAGGATTATAATTATTAAATATAGGGATTTTTATTTGCAAGGTGAGGTCTGCAGCTCCTAAGTCTTATTAATTCTTAAATTGTAAATGCTTGGCATTCCCAGTGAGGAGGGAGGTGAAAAAGTCTCTAGATTGACCCTGAATATAAATAGGGGGAGGGGATGAGCGAAAAAAAACATAGCCACATGTGCTTATCTTCTCAGAGCAGATTAAAATCAGTGTAGTAATTCCTCACTTACCTTTTCACCCCAGTTGGGATGGGCCACGTTTCTCGTTCTATGCCCTTGTGTTCCTACACAACGAGAGTAGCTACGAAAGGTAATGGTTCTCTAATTGTATCTCTGAATAGTGTACTTCCCTGGTTTTGACACTGTTCAGTGATTCATTAGTGGGCAGGTAAAGCAATAATAATCTTTGCATTGATATACCGCTTTATCACATCACTGACAGTTGCAAAGCGCTTCACAGAATATATTGTCAAGTGGATTGACTGTGTGTTTTGTGGGCGAAGTGCGACAGCCAACTGCGCAAAGCAGGTAATCCTCGTTCTAGTCACTGAGTCCGTGACTTGATGATTAGGACGGGATTGGGTGTTGACCATCTTGAAAGTAATGTGGCCTATGAGCAAGGGCAAAGGTCAGCAGCTGGCATTATCTAGTGAAGCACTTTGTTATCATCTCATCAGCCCTATGTTTGCCACAAGCTCCCAGTGCCTCTGGCGTCATTTTCTAAACACGCAGTGACAATTGATCATCTTTAAACTGTTACTTGGTCTCCAGGTTACCATTTGTGTGACGGAGTTGGCCTGTTCCTGTCTGCTTTTAGTACTCAACGTTGTGTCAGGAGAGATGTGCCTTTGTTGTGCAGATTGAAAGAGAACCTTTTTCCATCGAAGAATTCTGTGATTTGATTGTCAAACCCGACTGGTTCTGACTGATTCCTGGGTTGGTGACTTGGGATGTCTGGTGGGCAGAAAGAATTGCAGTAACACTTTGATATCTACAGTAATGTAGTGTTCAGTTCCGCTACTGCCTCTCCTTGTGTCTCTCCTTGCAACATAACTTTCCCCAGCCAAGAAGCTTGTCTGAACACCTTTTCCCGAGTCCCTGAGAATGGTCTGTGGGTGCAGTTCTGTCTTTCCCTTCCCTCCTGTGCGAAAGCACTTGCCAGTGACACAACGACAAAATGACATTTGTATAGCGCATTTCATATCCGGAGAACGTCCCAAAGTGCTGGACAATCAGTGTATCGGGCAGCTAAAGATTAGAACCTCTTTCCATAGGGATTTGTGAGTATGAGCAAGGACGCAGGCATTAATTCACAGGAATTAGTATAAAGTATAGTGACTGTGCATTTCATAGGTGTACCAGCCATCAGCAGTGTCCCACAATCAGCTATGAATTGTACATTCCTATTTTATATGGGGAATTGTTGGCCAGGATACCGGGAGAAACTCCCTTTTTTGAACAGTGCCATGAGATCTTTAATGTCTATCTGAACGGACAGATGGGACTCTTGGTTTAATGCACCACTGACAATGCAGCACCACCCCTCTCCCTGCTATTTACAGCCTGAGAGAGCAATAAATGAGTGACAATTGAGCCAGTAGACAGTTTGTACAGTGGTGCCGTATAAGCCTGGCTGTCTTTTGTAATGTTAATATTTTCCGAGCCAGTCGTGTCCACAATACTCCGGGGCGCTGCTGATGACAGCCTAGCCAGTCTGGTTCATTGGTAGGACTTGGAGGGGCAAACATGTCACGGGGGCAGAGATTCTTCATACTTGGCTCCTGTTTATCCTGGAGGCCAAAGCCCCCCTGAATAAGGTAACCCTAGCTGGACAGGTAGTAGGAAGCCAGCATTGCTTTCAATGGCAATCTATGTGGTTTTAGCTGGTTAAAGTCCAGCAGTACCTCAACAAACATACTTTGTCATGAGCTAACATTACGTCATATTTAGTTTTTGTCATATTTAATAATACTTAACTTGCAAACATACCCTTTTTCTGAATGAGAGCCAGACTGAGGATAAGATATTAAGCCCTTTAAAACTGAACATATTTTCGATCTAATAGAATAATTTGCTTTAATGTATCTCGCAATATGGTGAAGAAAAGTTGAAACCTATGAACAATGGAATTGCAGATCGCCTTTCCTTCTGTTATTGGCAATTAACAATTTTAGTTGGGTGGTTAATTAAATATCAGACGCTCCTTGGCTCTGCACTGGTTGTGTGGTTGGCTCAACAGGAGTGGTTTCTCATAATAATCCTAACATTTGATATAAGCGCCTTTCACATTCGAGGATGTCGGCCTCAAAGTGCTTCACGGATCCTACTGTAAAGACCAGTGACTGTATCTTGCACTTGAAGCATAGCTTCAGAGCCAATGCAGCCTTCTTTCTGAAAGTGTCTGCAGTCTTTAATGAGGTTTTTTTTTTCAGCCATCACAGGATTGGAAACACTGACTTGATTCTCAGCGAGAAACGGTTTGGCGAGTCTGAATCCTGTTAGGATTTGAGCTCAGGTACATTCATTGAGCAACGATTGTCAGCTCTTTGTGAGGTTGTGGATGGGGTAGAGAGTGTCAACAGTGAACTGAATATTAGACGAGTATGTTCCAGGATGCTGGGACATGGGCGTGTATAATTCCCCATGTGGAGAGTTCCTAGCCTCAGGAGGAGACTCGGCTTTTATTCACAAGTAGGGCAATGAGAGACAGAAGAACTCCTTGTGGATAGACTTGAAAGAGTAGGTCATATGTCCAGCCCTCCCTTGCCAGGAATAACTGGAGCTATGTATTTCAATCCAATTTCCCTCCTCTTTCCATATGAGAAGCATTTTTTTGTCTTTGGTCAGCTGGGTGTCAGATACGTCAGGAAATCCATCATCATGGTTGAGAGAGTATTCAAAACAGACCGAGTTCCACATACATATGTCACGTTCACATGGAAACTTCCCTGTGTCTGGAGTGGAATGTGCATTCTTGCAGGAGGGCTTACCTAATTCCAGGGATTATTAGATGCATGTTGGGAACCAAGGCTTGGGGTTCCAGAGTGTATTTTGGGGTAACTGCTGAAGTTTAGTTAAAACCATAGCTTGCCATTGAAAACATCCTACTGCTTGCCTTACATCCTACTGCTTGCCCAGCTAAGGCTTTTGGCTTGTTGGGTTAACAGGAGCAACATGGAAAGAATCCCTGCACCTCTTAGCTGTACCGTGAAAACCCTAATTTTCACCCAGCTCAAGTAATTCTGGAAAGTATTAGGCGCAGATTGGCGAGAACCAAGCAGTGGGGACCCCAGAGAGTGCATTGGGGTGTACTGCTGGAGTTCAACAAGCTAACCCCCTTCTCTTCTCCCTTGCTCAGCATCCAACCCCTGTAAAGTGCTCCAAGGCATTACCTGAAGGGGGTTATGTAAATGCACGATGTTGTAAAAGTGATGATAATCAGTAAAGTCAATGAATAATTAACTAACAATCCCTGCATTTAATAAAGCATCTTTCATGTCGGGCGGATAAAGCACAGGTCAAGCTGTACAGTGTAATGACTGCATTTTGTAGGTAAATACGGCTGCCAATTGAGCACAGCAATGATGCACAAATGGCAGTAAAGTGAACTGACCAATTTTGTTTGGGGGATTGTTGGCCAGGATACTGGGGCAACTCCTCTCTTGTATTTAATGTTAACTGTTATGTAGACCTGCTGCTTGCCCTTAATCACACTTGTCTGTATTGTTTTCAAGGAATGTATCCTGTCTGGCATCATGTCCGTGAATGGGAAAAAGGTGCTGCATATGGACCGGAATTCATACTATGGAGGAGAAAGTGCCTCCATAACGCCTTTGGAAGATGTAAGGAGATTTTCTTTACTCTGTGAACCATTATGCCCTATATTCTACCCAAACTTCTGTTAGACCATTAATACAGTACAAATCTACATTTGTACAGTGCCGTTTATATTCCAAGATGCTTAATAATCCATTCAAGGAACCGGGTTCCTACTTACTCCTCGGTAAACTGAGGCGTGTGGAGTAAGAAAACTTGCCTAATATTTCACCCTCCCCAGGAATCAAACCCAGGTCCTCTCGCTTGCGAGGCGAGTTCTCTAACCACTAAGCTACAGGACTCCACAATAATAATGTTTTCACTGCTGCTTATCCACTTCCTTCTCAAACTATTCTATTGATTCATCCTCAGCCATTTGTGTTAATGAATTCCAAACCTTAACAATCCTTTGAGTGAAAACCATTTTTTTTTGGTCAGCTGGGTGTGTGACAATGTGGAAATCCATCAAAATACACAGTCACTACACTTTACAGTTTATTTTGTGAAGCGCTTTAAGACGTCTTGAAGATGTGATAAGATTACTATAACAAATGCAAGGATTATTATCATTATGTTGAAGAGTATCCAAACCAGAGTCATTTGTATGTCACCAGTTTCAGGTGTGTGGAATGGAATTTTCCCCATGTCTGTAGTGTAATGCGCACCCACTCCCTGAGGGAATCATCCCGCTTACCTAATACGGGAAAGTTTCAGGTACAGGTTGGTGAGAGCCAAGGCTTGGGACCCCAGAGTGTGTGTTGGGGTAATGGCTGGAGTTTAACCAGCTGGAACCACATAGCTTGCCATTGAAAGCGCCGTCTAGCAAGCTTTCTGTTGCTTTTCCATCTTGGACCACCCTACCCCTTAGGGCTTTGGGATGCAGGGTTAACATGCAGGATGTGTGGGAAGAATCCTGGCCCCCCCCCAAGTCCTCCGATAAGCCAGGCTGGCTGGTCTGTTTCTAATTCAGAAGGCGGTAATCTGTGCCAGGATTCACTCCCCAACTAGAATAATCTAATCCCATCTCTCTTTACTGTATCTTGATATCTAGGTGTCTGCCTGGCTCAATTAGTAACATTCCGGCAGAAGTGTCTGGTCTCTGAGCTCCCAGAATAAGCTAATGGTTCTCTGCAGTGCTGGGAGAGCTCTGCACTGTTGGAGGTGCCATCCTCTTTGCTAGCATCACCGAGCTTGGTAGACGAGCGTTTAAAAAGTCACTGTAGAGAGTGAATATTCGCAGTTTGTGGGACATTGCTGTGCACAAATAGGCTGCGGGTTTGCCTGCAAAAGTCACTGTACTTTATAGTATAATGTGATGTGCTTTGCAACATCCTGATGTGAAAGGCACAATATTAAATACAAGTTTTTTTTATTAAAACTTATTTTGTTTTTTTATTCTCTTTCAGCTGTTCAAAAGGTTCAAGTTTGCTGAGGGGCCGCCTGAGACTATGGGACGAGGCAGGGAATGGAATGTGGACCTCATCCCTAAATTCCTTATGGCCAATGGTATTCAATCCTAATGTATTCCTTTCATTATTAGTCAATAAGGAGACCCTGGTTAGTATAATAGACATGGGCACATAGGGCACCGCACAGACCATTCAACGCTGGGATCTGTGTCAACCTGGTGCAGTTGGGAGCATTCTCGTCTCTGAATCAGAAGGTTGTGGGTTCAAGCCCCATGTCGCTACTTGCAATCACATAGTCTAAGGCTTAGACTTTAATATGACACTCCATTGCAGTGCGGGGTGGGGGGAGGGGGTGTGCATTTGTCGGAGGTGCCCTCCTTTTGATAAAACACTTAACCGAGGTCCGGTCTGCCTGTTCAGGTGAACGTTAAAGATCCCATGGCACTTCTTGAAAAGAGAAGGGAGTTTCTCTCTCCCGGTGTCCTGGCCAACAATCCCTCAAACAAAATTGGTCACTCACTTCAAGACTATTTGGGGAACATTGCTGTGCTCAATTGGCTATGGCATTTTGCCCACAAAATACAGTCAATCCTTTTTCCAGGATATCTTGTGAAGCGCTTTGAGACATCTTGATGACTTGATAAAGTGCTATATCAAATACAAGTATTATTATGATTATCTGGCCAGTGGTGTTCATTGAATCTAGCTCCATCCAATGGTGAAACAAAACTGGAGCTGTAGGAAAAGCAGAACAATCGATCTGAAGGAGACCGATAGGTCTGACCTTTGTTAGCTGATGTTCTTTCTATTCTGGCTGTGTGGCTCTTATGCAAATGAGTCCGGGCAGTTTTGACCTAGTTAACAGCAGATGATCCTCTAGAACAAATCTGCCTGTAATCGCATGTTAATGATTGGTGTGAGAAATGGAAAATCTTCCAAAGTGAAGGGGCAAGCTGAGGGAGAGTGGCGTGGGGGGAGGGAGAGGTCAGCAAACGTGGTTGGGTGGAGGAGAGGGACAGCCTGGACCATCAACTAGCAATGTTGTGTGGTAATTCTGCATGCATCGTTAGTGAGACCGCAGTTAAAGTATTGTGTGCCATTCTTGTTGCCCATTTTAAGAAGGATGTCAGGGCGATAGAGAAGGTGAAGAGGAGATTTACTAAGACGACCTCAAGGGTGAGTATTTTGACCTCTTACGCAGAAACTGGAGGAACTGGGCCTATTTTCACTGGAGCAGAGAAGGTTGAGGGGAGACCTGACTGAGGTCTATAAAATGATGAGGGATTTCGATCAAGTGAAATTATTTCCAATGGTCCATGAATCAGTGACCAGAGGGCATTAGTTCAAGATAATTAGCAGAAGGGAAGATTAGGAGGAATTTTTTTACCCAGTTAGGATGTGGAATGTCCTGCCGTGTGCAGTGGTTGAAACAGGATTTATTTAGCTTTCAGGAGGGAATTATTATTATGATAATACTTATTATGCTAAGTATTGCTACCCAACATAAATGCAAGTTGTTTATGACGTGTAGACCTCTCAAAGTGCTTCAGGATATAGTGAAGTGTAGTGACTGTAGTGAACTAGATAAGTATTTTTAAAAAGTCATTTGTGGAGGAATTAGTGGTGGGAAAGGCAGGTCAATGGGACTGAATGGATTTCAGTGGGTTGAGTGCCTTCCTCTGGGCGGTAAATTTCTACAGTTTTAACCTTTCTTTACCTCAATTGACTTATCCATTCCTATTGAGCTAGCTCGAGATTGGATTCCTGCTGATTATTCTCGGAGATTGATGTGCAACGAAGGCCTTTTATTGTTAAGCACTCTGAGACGTGCCATTGGGGGTGAAGGGCGCTATATGAATTCAAGTTATTGTTGTTAACCATTTGTACCCTGTCGTCCTCAGGTCAGTTGGTTAAGATGCTGCTGTACACAGAAGTCACTCGTTACCTCGACTTCAAGGTGGTTGAAGGAAGTTATGTGTATAAAGCTGGGAAGATCCACAAAGTCCCATCAACAGAGACTGAAGCACTCGCTTCTGGTCAGTAGCTACATGTGGCTGCTCAACCCTTTCTTTGCTGCAGTTAATTATTTCCTTTTACCCTAACTCCAGCTTGAATTTTGTTGCTCCACACGCTTCTGTTTACCGCCCCCCCCAGATAGTCACTAGTTGATCATCAGACATTTAGTAGGAAGTAAGTAGGAACCCGGTTGTTAGTCGATCATTTTCTGGGGTAATAATCCCTTTCAATAAATAAATTGGTCACTCAATCCAAGACTGTTTGTGGGACACTGCTGGGCACAATTGGCTGCCATGTTTCGCCCACAAAATATACAGTTACTTTACAGAATATTCTGTGAAGCGCTTTGAGATGTCTCAATGATGTGATAAGGTGCTATATCAAATGCAAGAATTATTACTATTGATCCTTTCGAGGATCTATCTGCAACTCCTCCTTTATAGTGGAATCTAATTTATGCCTTGATGTTGCCCACTGGACATGAGCTTTCAGCCTCTCCATCGTGGAGTCCCTCCACCACCTCCTCATTAAAACCCACCCACCTTAAGACCTTTTTTTTTTCTTAACCTTTTGGTCAATTTTATTTTCTACCCCCCCCCCCCCACACACGCTTCAAGCTCAGGCTCTCAGACAGCTCTGTGAAGCACTTTTCTGTTTTCTTTTCAGACCTGATGGGCATGTTTGAAAAACGACGCTTCCGGAAGTTTTTAGTCTTTGTCGTGAGCTTCGATGAACACGAACCAAAAACTCACCAAGGCATCGAGCCCAGAAAGACCACCATGCGGGAGGTCTATAAGAAGTTTGACCTGGGACAAGACATCATCGACTTCACTGGCCACGCTCTGGCACTCTACAGAACTGACGAGTAGGTTGCTGCTTGATTCCCCCACCCCCGTTTAATTCCTGTTAAACAATAATAAGCGACCGAGCCTTCAACCACTTCGCCCCACTCTTTTCTGAACTCTCTGCCTCTGCCCCACTCCTGCCTTCTGCTTTCAGAACTCGCTCCAAGACGCTTCCCTGGGTGAAGGGCCTGTAAAAAATGCAAGTTATTGTAGTGGTGGTGGTCTTACAAGTTGTACCTCTTTGACTATGCCTTCAGCCATCTCCTGCCTTCACCCACTCCCATCTCCTATCCTGCTCAGGCTCCCTAGAAAGCAGTTTGAGACATCCTCTTATGTGAAAGATATTTTTACGTAGGTGCTACGTAAGTGCAAGTTGTTGTGACAACCTCTCCCTACCCCCCCCTCTCTAGATAGTCACTAGTCATCAGACTCTTGATCATCAGACATTTAATCTTCAGTTTATTTTGAGGGGGAAAAAATCCAGACCAATAAACCACAGATTTATTTGGCAATTGTTGGTGCTGGAATCACTGTTCTACCATTGACTCTTATAAGAAATGTTGCTGGTTTAAGAGATGATTCATGTTGTGAGTGCTCAATTTTGAAGAGTACAGAACAATTTTGTGCTGTTTCTGTGATGTCTGTCTGTTTTGTGTTGACGCTAGTTATCTGGACCAACCTTGCCTGGACGCCATCAATCGAATTAAACTGTACAGCGAGTCTCTCGCTCGGTACAGCAAGAGTCCTTACCTCTACCCACTGTATGGGCTCGGAGAGCTGCCACAAGGCTTTGCCAGGTAAGCGAAGACTCGCGTTAAGCATTGCCCACCCTAGTGTACAGCATTAGAGGGACGATAAGTCAAGCTAGCACTCTTCAGTCTTGAAAGCAGATCTCTCATAGGGGACCTGACAGAGGTGTATCTGTTTAAACAAAATTGAGAAAGTAAACTCTGTATAATATGTTCGGATGTACAAAGAGCTATATAAGAAGTCACGGGGTCGTGCTTGCAAATAGTAGAGTCCTGTAGCTCAGTGGTTAGAGCACTCGCTTTGGAAGTGAGAGACCTGAGTTCAATTCCAGGCAGAGGGTGAAACCTTGGGCAAGTTTCCTTACTCCACACAGAGCCTAATAATAAACCCTCCAAAACCAAAAACAATAATAAATTGGTCATTTTCAATCTACGACTGTTTGTGGGACATTGCTGTGCACAATTGGCTGCCGCGTTTGCCCACAAATATACAGTCAATTCACTTTACAGTGTGTTCTGTGAAGCGCTTTGGGACGTCCTCCCGACGTGAAAAGCGCTATATCAAATGCAAGGATTATTATTGTATCAATTTCAGGACAGACGCTAGAACGTATTTCTTTACCCAAGGAGTATTTAAGAATTAGAACAGGGTTACCCAGAAGGGTGGTCGAGGCCAGGACACTGAATTCATTTTTAAAAAAAGATTACTGTGTTGAGAAGATGATAAATGGGGGATTCAAAGATTAAATTGAATGAGTAGGACAGTCTTCATCTGAACCTCTCGTGTGGTCTTTTGATTTATATTATACTGAATGTTAAATACATCAATTATATTATACATGTAGCTGTGGAGTCCCGTAGCTCAGTGGTTAGAGCACTTGCCTCGCAAGCGAGAGACCTGGGTTCAATTCCCAGCAGGACAAAACATTGGGCAAGTTTCCTTCTCCACACGCCTCTGTTTACCTAGCAGTAAGTAGGAACCCAGCTGTTAGTCGATTGTCAGGTTACTTTCCAGGGGTAATAAATCCTTTTTTTTTTAAAAAAATTCGTCACTAAGTCCACAACTGTTTGTGAGACACTGCTGTGCGCAATTGGCTGTTGCATTTCGCCCACAAAATGCAGTCAATTTACTTTTTAGTATATTCTGTGTTGCGCTTTGAAACGTCTCGAAGACGTGATAAGGTGCTATATCAAATGCAAGGTTATTATAGTGTATGTGTATAATATATAAAACCTAAAACTTCTGGGAACAAGAATATTTTTTTCTGCTTATGATCGTGAAGTGAGGGTTATCAGTGTAGGATAATGGAGAATAATCCATTCATTTTCTTACATTTGATATAATGCCTTTCACTTCTGGAGGACATCTCAAAGCTCTTCACAGGATTAACTGTAAAGTGGGTAGTAACTGTGTGTAGGTGAACAAAGCAGCCAATGAATGCACAGCAGTATCCCACAGTCAGCCATAAATCAAAGTACCAATTTTATAATAATAATAATATTCCTTGCATTGGATATAATGCCTTATCACGTCTTCGAGATGTCTGAAAGTGCTTTACATAATATACTGCAAAGTGGAGTGACTGGAGTGCCTTGTGGTTATGGGAGAATGCGAGGAGCTATGGGAGAATTATTTATTTGTCCTGGATTGTTTGCCAGGACACCGAGAGAAACTCCCTTCTCAATAGCGTTATGGGATCTTTAGCGTCCACTTGAATCGACAGGCGGGACCTATGACAATGCAGTGCTCCATGAGCACTGCACTGGAATGCCAGCCAGGACTGAGTTCAAAGTGCTGATATGTGGCTTGAGTCATACCTGAGAGTGCTACCAAATGAGCGAGGCTGACAAAGACTTTGTGAGCTTTTGCTTCCCATTATCAGTCTTGGGATAGCAAGCCGGACGGCGATGGTTATTTAAAACAGAAGTCGCTGTGAACACTCAGCAGGTCAGGCAGCATCTATGGAGAAAGGAAAGTGAGTCAACGTTTCGGGTCGTTGCTGCCTGACATGCTGAGTGTTCCCAGCGACTTCTGTTTTTGTTTCAGATTTCCTGGATCTGCAGTATTTTGCAATAGTTACTTATTTCATATCAAGGAAAAACAGAGAGAGCAGACTTGTTTTTTGTTCAGCCGAGTGACAGGCGTGGAAACCCATCAGCGTGCATAAATTTTCCATCCATTGAACGAGATGTTAAATTGAGGTCCCGTCTGTGCCTTTCAGGCGGATGGTAAAGATCCTGTGGTGAAGATGAAGGGAGTTTCTCCCAGTGTAGCGGCCTCAGACAAAAAATCCCTCAGACAAAATTGGTCATTTGTTTCATGGCTGTTTGTGGGATGTTGCTGTATACAAATTGGATGCCGCTATTGCCTTCAAATGCACAGTCAATACCCCTGAACAACAAATATATTGATGTTCTTTGAAACATTTCTTGACATGAAGCATATTATATGTAAGGATTATTATTAGTTGAATCGATTTGCTAGGGGACCTGGAGTAAGTGAGAGAGATTGTCTTGTGCCTTTTGATAAAGATAACGCTCTTGATAACTGTGAAGGCTTCAGTCTGAAAAGCTGACAGTGTCTCTTCCTCCCCCCAGATTGAGTGCTATCTATGGAGGCACCTATATGCTCAATAAACCAGTGGATGAAATTGTGTTTGAAAAGGGACGCGTAGTGGGTGTGAAGTCAGAAGGAGAGGTAAGCGATCTCATGTCAGGTAAACCACGTATCTTTATTACTCGCCTCGGATGTGGACAATGCTAGAAGGGCCCCTTCCATTGCTGCCCTGAGGGGATGGGGTCTTTAACTATTGCAGTCCTAGCAATGCCTCTGGGTAGGTAAGCAGTTGAATTACAACACGATCGAGACAAGTTTTAAGAAAAAAAAATGGGATCCATCTGGTCAAGCACCAGCTGAGTTGGTTTAGAGATATAAGCATGTGGAAGGTTATATGTGACTTCATCGCCTCTGTGTGACTGAGGTATCCTACAGGAGAATTATTTCTTAGTAGTGTTGTATGTTTGGGAGGGAGATCCCTTTTTAATGTGAAAATAGCTCCATCCTGCTTCCCCCTACCCCTATATATAAAAAGATAATCAAGAAGAGGCAGACAAATTTTTGGCCCAGTTTTCAGGAAGCTAATTGTTTACTAGAGGACCTTAAATTCCACTTACATCCATTCTTGGGACCATTTTGCCTTATCCATTAGATAATGTTTCAATTCGCTCTCTGTTTGGATGCCGTTTTTTTACAGCCAATTTTCACAATGAATGGTTCAGCTTCCAAATTAAGGCGGAATGGGAGAGTTTTCCACAACCCTGAGCAGTCTTAATATTAAGACAAAAAGGCCACTAGGCAGAGCTGTTATAGACAGCTGCTATTATGCAATTGGCTTTAGCCCTTCATGGGACAGGAGGAGGAAAGATTCACCACAGTTTCTTTTTTTTTTTGGTCAGTCGGGTGTCTTGGCACATGCGGAAACCCATGGCTATGGTTAAGAGTATCCAGATTGAGTATTCCATGCATTCCCACCTACACATAAAATTCCTGAGATAGATTGTTGGAATGGAATGCACATTCTCTCCCTGGAAAGACATGTCCCTGCTTAGCTAATTTCGGAAAGTATTAAGTGCAGGTTGGCAAAAGCCAAGGTTTGGGGACCCCAGATTGGGGTACCACTGGAGTTTAATCAGATAAAACTACATAGTTTCCCATTGATATCGCTGTCTGATGATATCAATGGCACCACAGTTTCCCAATCCTGATTGCCCATCCCGCGATCTTTGCTGGAAAATCCATGCAGGAGTGCCTAGGCCCTAGCAGCCGTCCACAGCAGAGAAGAGCAATCCAGAGGGTTAAGCTATGACCAACGATTTGACAAGCTAAGCCTGTAAAGAGACATCTTAAGAAGGAATCTTATAGAGCAATGGTGGCCAACTCATGGATCCCAGGCATAAATCAAGAAATATTCAATCAAGAACATGTATTTTGTTGGCCGACCAACAAGGTTGGTCACTCCTGTTTTAGAAGTATTTAAGATTCTAATCAAAAGGGGTGGGGGTGAAAGGAGGTAATAATTCCCTTTCCTCCCCCCCCAAAATATGCTCATTCAATCAACCACTGTTTGTGGGACATTGCTGTGTGCAATTGGCTGCCGCATTTCGCCCACAAAATACAGTCAGTCCACTTCACAGTGTATCCTGTGAAATGCTTTGAGACATCTCAACATAAGCTGCTGTATCAAATCCAAGTATTATTATGATTATTGGAGGAGAGAAAGCTGGCCAAAGAAATTTTCCCCTCTAAAATCCTCTTCATTGCCTGCAGATTGCACGTTGCAAGCAGCTGATCTGTGATCCAAGCTATGCTCCCAAACTGGTGAAGAAAGTGGGGAAGGTGATCCGGGTGATCTGCGTACTCAGCCACCCCATCCGAAGCACGAACGAGTGCAACTCCTGTCAGATCATCATCCCACAGACCCAGGTCAATAGGAAGTCAGGTAACTCACCATGTTTGACAGTCTCTTCCCCGCCTTCCAAAAGCAGCACTAAAAACCCAGTGTCCCAGCGTAGACTAGGAATATATACCTAATAATGTTAGTAATAATCCTTCCATTTGATGTCACACCTTATCACGTCATCACGAGTCTTCATGCGCTTCATGGGATTCACTGCAAAGTGACTGTAGATTGAAGATGAACCCATCAGCCAGTTTGCTTACAGCAATGCCCCACAAACAACCATGAAGTGAATGGCCAGTTTTGTTTGGGCAACAGGAAGCCAGGAGAAACTCCTCTCTTCAAATCATGCCACGGGATCTTTAATGTCCCACCTGAAGAGGTACACGGGATCTCAGTTTAACATCTCACCCGAATGGATGTCACCCCCCAGCGAAGCCACTGACCTGGAGTGTCCAGCTACACTCTGAGCTCAAAGTCGTAATGTGTGGCTTGAAACCCACAGCCTTCTGACCCAGAGGTGTGAGTGTTACCAACTGAGCCAGGCAGACCTAGTCTATAAGCAAAAATGGTTGCTTGGCTTAGCTATCAGTGTACCATCAGTTAAGCCAAGCAACCTTTTCTGCTAAGTCTATATGACTAGAAAGCCCATCAGACCAGGGCTCTGGCCCTCTCTATAAGTTCAGTGCCCTTCCTCACATTGAACTGCTGAGGTGTGTATGTGAAACGAGTAAAGTGCCTTGGGACATCCTCCTGATGTGAAAAGCGCTATTCAAATGTAATTTTGTAAAGAGTGTTGCAATTTCTAACGTACAAACTTGATGTGATCACCGATGATTTCTCCCTGCAGACATCTATGTGTGCATGATGTCGTACGCACACAACGTAGCGGCGGAGGGCAAGTACATTGCCATCGTCAGCACCACGGTGGAAACCAGCAACCCCCAGAAGGAGATCCAGCCAGCGCTCGACCTCCTGGAGCCCATCGATAAATCGTAAGCAGCTCGAGGGACATCCAACGCACCAGGCCCCTCGTGACCTCAGTCTGTCAGCTGCAGGGGCATTGCAGTTGCACCCAATACTGATCTCATCTCATGTCTACACATGCATAATGACTTGAACAGAATCAAGAATTAAATCATTGGCTGTGCAGGGATTGTTGAAGAAGAGACATTATGACTAGCCACTGAATGCACTGAAATCCAGCTCCTGTATCTTTCATGATGCTCTATAGCTTGATTGCCTGAAGTCTCATTTCAATAGACACTAAGCCCCTCTGACCTGCATTTTTGTTCACTTCTAGGTTTGTGTCGATCAGTGACTTATACCAGCCCACAGATGAAGGACGAGCGAGTCAGGTGAGTGGGGAGAGTTCAAACTACCGATCTGTTCATTTACAGGAATCCCATTTATGAAGTGAGAAGAGAAGTCATGACTCCAGCTCTGTGCTTACCTGTTTATTATTTATTATACCCAAGTCAAATTCAGGGTATTTCTGATCAGCAACGACAATATATTAATATAGTGCCTTTCACACCGAGGGCATTTCACACATCTGGCTGAGAGCCTGAGATGCTGTTGGAGGGAGCTTTGCTATGTGGGGGGGGTAAGGTGATCTTTTCACAGGCTCCATTGTAAAGTACAGTGAGCATATGTTGTAGGCGAATGCGGCAGCCAATTTGCACATAACAAAGTCCTGCTAATAGCCGTGAAGTGAATGCCCAATTTTGTCTGGGAGATTGTCCGGCAGGATGCTGGGAGAGAGAAACTCCCCTTCGCTTTTCCGGTTGTGTCATGGAGTATTTAACGTCCACTTGAACAGGCACAGACGGAGCCTCGTCCCAAAGACGGCACTCTGACAATTCAGAACTGTTTTGGAGCATCAATCTGGACAGTGAGCTCAAGGTCCCAATATGGGGCTTGATCTGACATGAAGGCAAGAGTGTGACCGACTGAGCCATCGATGCCCTTAATAATAACAGTTTTCTCTTTGCTGTTGCACAGATCTTCATCTCCCGCTCCTACGACGCCACCACTCACTTTGAGACGACTTGCGACGACATAAAGAACATTTACAAGCGGATGACAGGCACAGACTTTGACTTCGAGAACATGAAGCGCAAACAGAATGATGTCTTTGGCGACGACGCATAGTTCCGACCCACCCTGATCGTAGCCCAGTTCTTTTGCAGCGCTTTCACATGAGATAATTGACCGAGCTCTCAGTCGGGAGCCCTGGAAACGTTACACACTGCGTGCGTGTACTACTCTCTTCTCACCCACCTACCCCTCTCTTGATTTGTTCAAATATTATGTTTTTTTTTGTTAAGAAAAACAAAATGCTAATTTGCAATATTTCTTAACAGAATTCTGACATAAGGAAGCTCATCAGAATTCCCGTCGATGCCTATCCGGAAGCAGATGCTGTTGTAACGGCTCAGGGCGACATTCTTCCTGTCACAGGAGGATTTCGGGCCCTGTCTGTGTGGGCAACTCTTAGGAAGAAAACCCATTAAGAAATGCCGCGAATTAGTCCCTGCCTGATATTGGCAAATCTGAGTCTGTTATAACTGGTCTGCGGCCTGTTATACACAGGCTGAGTAACGTAGGGAAAAGATTCCTTTTGACACATTTCCAAATCTTATTGAGAAGCCAGCAGAGACTTGGCTGTGAAATCTTGGTCGGAGTCAACTCGACCCTGGCACACTCCAATGAATCTCGGTCAATTTTATTTTGCCCGTTGGGAAATAGAAGCCAGAATAGTTCGTCCCAAGGTCAAGTGCTCAAACCACTGAGCTGTCAGATGCTCTTCCAAATCCCCAAGGGTTCATTTCTAAACACAAGCAGTTGCTAGGAACCACTTGAACAGGTAGCATTACCACCAAGACTCTGCCCTATAAGATGTTCTAATGAACCAAGAATCCTACACGATTTTTTTGTTTTTAAAACGGAATCTCTTTGTGCTATACGGTGACGCAATTGCAGGCTAACGTTTCTCATGTGAATGGGCAAGTCATTCTCTTTCAATTTAAGCAGCTGAACTGAAGGTAACCTGTGAATTGATCTCTTTAACTGGATTGTAGTCAGTGCTGTGTATTGATAACGACTCTTTAGTTCATTTTACATACACAACTCTTGTGTGACTGGGGTCTTTGGCTGGATTTAGGGGTGATCAACACTGGGCTCTAGTTTGCACTTTCTTTAAAAGGTTCCTCTTTAAGGTTAGTGTTTCTCCATAGAATAAAAGTAGACAGGCACCCAGCGATTACCCCGAAGCAGTTTTAATCATGAATCCAGGACAGTTGAGGCAGCAGAGCACAGTTCTGCTATCTGTGTCTTTCTCACACACATGCGTACACGCTTCCACAGTCACTCAATCTGTTCACTCCTTCCCCATAATTTCTGATGAATAAGGTTAAAGCAATCCATTTAAAGTTGTTTCCTGCTCAGCTCACTCATGTTCAGGTTGCTTTTGTGGACATTCCTTTATTGTGTATGGACCAAATGAATGATTTTTTTAAAATTTTTTTAAAAAGTCATGAACTGTTGAGTCAACCACCAAAGAAAATTGTGCTGTGAGCAGCTGCGTTAGTTCCTTGCCTCAGCACCACAGGTTAGGGAGGGAACAGTTGCCACAGTTCCTAATAGTCGGGTAGACATGGAGTGAAGACCAGACCACATTTGGCTGAGATGTGGTTGGAAAGCCAGCCCGCATCTCAATGTCAAGGTCAACCCTTTCTGTCCAGGACCACGTTTCTCCTATTCCTAAAGAGCGCTCTGGGAAGATTCACCATAATCTACCTTGCCGACTCAAGATAGGTTCTGCTGCAGAGACTCTTAACCCTGGCGTCTATGCTCAATATTACCCTGATCCTACCTTGAAAGACAAGTAGTTTATCCTCTTCCTTTCTTCTCTAGACAACCATTAAATCAAATCGGTATCTCAATTGTAGTTGACCACTTTGTGTTTTGTTTATGTAATGTGTTTTTTGGACCATTGTGTGTTGATACTCATGACTTTATCACAGAATATTGCTTGTTCCTGAGGTCTGATTTCCTCGGCATGATCAATATATTGCTTTCTCTGGGGGCAGGGGAGGCAGATGGTCTCTTATCCCATTGCTGTAAATGGTAAAACTTTATAATAGGAAAGGAAATACTGCTATTTTTTAGAGATTGGCGTATGACAGACATTTTCTCCCTCCCCCTCATCCCTCCACATTTACTTCATTGCGATCGACAGCTTTAAACCATAATGTAATAAAGTGAAAGGCAGGCACTAAGTGTTAGCCCCCTTATTTTACAATGGAATGGGACTTTATGAGTGGCAGCCAGGCTTTTAACAAGCACTGGGCCTGAAACTCCACCTCGTTTTCGCGTTTGCGACCATTTTTGACGTTGAATTGTGGGGTAAACCTTTCAGTTGCGTTTCCGTTCTGCAGCCTGGCTTTCCCCTCGGTTCCCAAAAATAAAACCGGCTTCTGGGTGAAGCTACCCCGGTCTGAGTGATTAAAAATTTAATTTTCCGCACTGGGAAACTGCTGAGCGGAACAGACACGAGTGGAACTAATGTCTTTGTGTGCCCTGAGCCTGGCTGATACTTTCATTTTGTCCTTGGAAGGGAATTCAAGACTGAACCTGGGACCTGATGGTCGGCAGGTTTGAAGGGGAGGTGGATGTCCACGCACCTCTCAAGGTGTTTAGTGGCTGAATGTATTTCCGTTAGAATGTTTTGACTTCAAGAAACAAAACCAGGGAAAGTTTATCCCATTGTGTTGTAGACACCAAAAAAGCCAAGCTGAACGACGATTTCACAGACACGCTTTATATTAAAAAAAAGCACGCAGCAGCTGCTGCGTTTATTGTGTATTCCGTAACTCCACTCACTGTGGCGTAAAACTAAATGCCAAACCTTTAGACGGCTTGTGTGTTGCTGTGTGCTCTTAACACTATCCCTGTGTTGTGGAAAAGTCTGACGGTGTCCCTGGCATATGCGCTTGTGCTCTGTGCTGGATTATCAAATAAAAAGTATATTTAAAACTAAGATGATTTGTCCTCTGGCTTCTTCTTTCTTCTGCACAACATGACAAAAAGGGTCATTTTATGTTCTGGTCGCCTTGGATTTGTTTCCTTGCAAATCTTTCTCCTATCCTGAAGGTGTTTGGACTCGATCTTAAAAGGGAAAGATCAAAAGTCGACTTAGAATAATAAGTAGCAACGAGCCAGCAGCATGCCCGAGTACACCAGTTCTGGCTTCTTTGCACAGAGGACGGAAGGAACAGGGAATTCTCTGCCACTACCCACTGTTAGAGGCCATAATGGGTGGGTAAAGAGCAGGAGAATGGGAATGGGTGTGCAGAAAAATACCAGCACAGACTTGATGTGCCAAATAGATGATAATTGTAACATTAAAATCCTTGCGTTTGATCTCACGTTGTCCAAACATCGCATAGTGCTTCACAGGATTTTACTGGAAAGTCATACAGATTGTATTAGTAGGTGATCACAGCAGCCAGTTTGCACACAGCAATGTCCCACAACCAGCCATGAAGTGAAGGACCAATTTTATCTGGCCTTGATACTGGGGGAAACTCCAATTGCAGCTCCAATGAGGCCTGCATTCCTCTCCACCCCCCACACCCGGAGGATAGTATGAGGTTGCAGAGGTAGGGAGGAGCGCGCCTGTGGAGGGCTTTAAAAACGAGGATGAGAATTTAAACTCGTTCCTCTGAGGGATGGGGAGCAAGTGGAGCCGGCCGAGGATGGCGTTGATCAGTTAACAAAACTTGGTATGGGAGTGGAGATGAGCTACAGAGTTCAGGATAATCTGCAGTTTGTGGAGGGCAGAGTTGGAGAGTCCGCCGAGCAGGGAGTGGGCATAATCCTGTAGCTCAGTGGTTAGAGCACTCGCTTTGCAAGCGAGAGACCTGGGTTCAATTCCCGGCAGAGGGCGAAACCTTGGGCAAGTTTCCTTACTCCACACAGAGCCTAATAATAATCCCTCCAAAACAAAACAATAATAAATTGGTCATTTTCAATCTGACTGTTTGTGGGACATTGCTGTGCGCAATTGGCTGCCGCGTTCGCCCACAAATATACAGTCAATTCACTTTACAGTATATTCTGTGAAGCGCTTTGGGATGTCTAGAAGATGTGAAAAGTGCTATATCAAATGCAAGGATTATTATTATTATAATCGAGCCTGGACGTGACGAATGCACAAATGAACGTCTCAGCGGCCTGGGGGGAAAAGCAGTGGTGGAGGCAGGTGATGTCGCAGAGGTGGGGAAGGCAGAAGGGGTCATTGCGCAGATGTGGGTAAAGCAAGGCTTTAGACCTTGGACCTTCCCAGACTGTTGTGCTGTGTCATATTCAACACTAGCCATTTGGGGGAGCTCCAAGAGTAAATATTTTGTTCAGATTCTCCACAACACAAGTCTTGCAATCTCAGTCGTTACTCTGCTATGCTACACACAAGGCTGAGCGTTCTCAACCCAAAAATCAGTCGTTCAACCTCAGAAATTCTCTTTGGTTAGGTACAATTACAGGTGCCAACTTGGCTCAGTTGGTAGCACTCTCGCCTCTTGAGTCAGGAGGTTGTGGGTTCAAGCTCCACTGAGGTCCTGTCCGCCTGTTCAGGTGGATGTTAAAGATCCCGTGCCACTATTGCAAAAAAGGAAGGAGTTTCTCGGGGTGTCCTGGCCAACAATCGCCCGAATAAAATTAGCTATTCACTTCATGATTGTTTGTGGAACATTGCTGCTCAAATTGGGTGCTGCGTTTATCTTCAAAATACACAGTCACTGGACATTACTGCGGATCCTGTGAAGTGCTTTGAAACGTCTCGCTGATGTGGTCAAGTTCTCTGCCAAGTGCAAAGATTATTATATTATAGACAGTTAAATATTAATTACTGATTAGAACCAGCATCAATAAATGTCTACCCAATAGCTATTCATAAAATGTAACTGCTCAGAAACCACTTACCAATCATGCGGGAAATAAAAACAACTCAAGAGACTTAAAAAACAGTATATCCTGTGGCAGTGTTGAAATATTAATGAATCTTTGTAGCAGTGGTATTGATAGAGAACGACACTTAATAATCCTTACATTTGATACAGCGCCTTTCACACGGGAAGAGCTTCTCAAATCACGTCACAGGATATACTATAAAGTGGACTGACTGTGTATTCTGTGGGCGAACGTAGCAGGCAATCCTCACACAGCAATGTTCCACAAACAGCCATGAAGTGAGTAACCAATTTTATTTGGGAGATTGTTGGTCAGGACACTGAGAGAAATTCCACCTTTTTTTTTCGAGCAGTGCCACAGGATTTTTAATGTCCACCTGAACAGACAAACAGGCTTAACATTTCATCTGAAGGAAAGCACCTCCAACAATGAAATTCACTCCCCCCAGCATTACACTGGAATATCAGCATAGCTTATGTGCGTTCCAAATACCAACGAGAGACTTGAACCCACAACCTTTTGACTCAGAGGCGACTGAGCCAGGCTATCACACTCAAGCAGGCACAGTTAATAGGAAAACCTCAATGTATCACTGGAAGTTTGAGTGCTGTAGTCTATGTAAAACCATCTTAACAGTGAGGATCAGTTGTCCAAATACATCTATCACAAATAGAATGCCAAAGAGTTTTGACTCAGATACAGTTTTAGTGAACAAATCCTGTTGTAATATTTTGCTACCAGATATCATTGTGGTTACACAATTACTCAACATCACTGCAGTTACGCAGTGACTTAATATCATTGTGTGGTTGGTGATCTTCTATAAATCCACTCCAAAACTGTCCAAAATGTCAGCCTAGAGGTCAAAGATCCTATGACACTGCTGAAAAAGAGAAGGGAGTTTCTCTCTCCTGGTATCTTGGCCAACAATTCCCCCGTTAAAATTGGTCTGTTTGTGGGACTGGGCTGCCCCCATTGCCGACAAAAACAATCATTACACTGCACTTTACAGCAATTGCTTGTGGAACTCTTTCAGATATTTTGAAGTCCTATAAAAATGTGTTTGCTCTTTGCTTACTGGTTGTATGTTGACTGTAAAGAAATATGTTCTGGTTGCAGTGCCAAGGCATTTGGAAGAACAAGATGGTTGTCAGCTGGTTAGGCTAAAAATAAAACAGCTGAGGACAGGATTTATGGTAGCAACAATTTACTCTGGGGCAGAGTTAGATCAGCGACTGGATTCTGCTGCCAGGGAGAAAAGTCACGACTGCCAGAAAAACAATCAAGTGATGTCTGCAATTCCAATACAACTCGCATTCAATATCACGTGCAAACACACTTGCAGTGCAGTGACTGCGAAGTCGCACATTTGCGTGCAGAAATGTGCCACGGACACCCAAGGACTGAACGGACAATTCCTTATCTGGGGGATTGTTGACCAGGACACTGGGAGAAACCCCCATCACTTTTCCAAAGCGCCACGGGATCTTCAACAGGCACAGACCGGATCTCGGTTTATCGTCTCATCTGAAGGTTGGCGACTCTGCTAATACAGCGGAGTCCTGTAGCTCAGTGGTTAGAGCACTCGCTTTGCAAGTGAGAGACCTGAGTTCAATTCCAGGCAGAGGGTGAAACCTTGGGCAAGTTTCCTTACTCCACACAGAGCCTAATAATAATCCCTCCAAAACCCAAAACAATAATAAATTGGTCATTTTCAATCTACGACTGTTTGTGGGACATTGCTGTGCGCAATTGCCGCGTTCGCCCACAAATACACAGTCAATTCACTTTACAGTGTGTTCTGTGAAGCGCTTTGGGACGTCCTCCCGACGTGAAAAGCGCTATATCAAATGCAAGGATTATTATGACAGCGTTGCCCGAGTACTGCACTGGATAGTCTGCCCGGACTGCGAGCCAGTGAGCTGCACTGTTGCAGCGCAGGCGTCTCGGTGCTCCTGTGCCGTGAGCTGCACTGTTGCAGCGCAGGCGTCTCGGTGCTCCTGTGCCGTGAGCTGCACTGTTGCAGCGCAGGCGTCTCGGTGCTCCTGTGCCGTGAGCTGCACTGTTGCAGCGCAGGCGTCTCGGTGCTCCTGTGCCGTGAGCTGCACTGTTGCAGCGCAGGCGTCTCGGTGCTCCTGTGCCGTGAGCTGCACTGTTGCAGCGCAGGCGTCTCGGTGCTCCTGTGCCGTGAGCTGCACTGTTGCAGCGCAGGCGTCTCGGTGCTCCTGTGCCGTGAGCTGCACTGTTGCAGCGCAGGCGTCTCGGTGCTCCTGTGCCGTGAGCTGCACTGTTGCAGCGCAGGCGTCTCGGTGCTCCTGTGCCGTGAGCTGCACTGTTGCAGCGCAGGCGTCTCGGTGCTCCTGTGCCGTGAGCTGCACTGTTGCAGCGCAGGGAGCTGCAGCCCTGACATTGCTGCTTTGCTCCAGTTCAGTGCTCCTGTGCAGTCAGTGGTGGGACGGACACGGCTCTCATTCAACGAGTTTCAATTCTCCAGTGCATTGCACTGCAATGTGAACACTGCTCCAGTGCAGTGAGTTATAGTTAGTGAGTTTGGTTAGTGAACTAGTTAGTGAGCTGGTTACAGTGAGCTGGTAAGTTAGTGAGCTGGTTAGTTAGTTGGTTGGTTAGTGAGCTGGTTACAGTGGGCTGGTAAGTTAGTGAGCTGGTTAGTTAGTTGGTTGGTTAGTGAGCTGGTTACAGTGAGCTGGTTAGTTAGTTGGTTAGTGAGCTGGTTACAGTGAGCTGGTTAGTTAGTTGGTTAGTGAGCTGGTTACAGTGAGCTGGTTAGTTAGTTGGTTAGTTAGTTGGTTGGTTAGTGAGCTGGTTACAGTCAGCTGGTTAGTTAGTTGGTTAGTTAGTGGGGGGGGGGGCAGGAGCAGGAAGTCGCGAGCTCCCGGAAGTGACGCAGTCAGGCCTGAGTGGGCTCGAGCTGAAGCCGACACCGGGAGCGGCGCCCCTCAGCCTCAGCCCCGACACCGCCTGAGCCTCAGCCCCGACACCGCCTGAGCCTCAGCCCCGACACCGCCTGAGCCTCAGCCACACGGTGAGTGTCCGCGGCCGCTAACCAGACAGGGGAGGCCCGGGAGCCGCTCGGCCACAGGTGCCGTCTGCCCGCGCGGGGGCTCGGCCTCGGGGTCCCGGCCTGGGAGTGTCCCCGGCCTCAGGCCCCGGACCCGCCAGCGGGTCACCCGGACCCGCGCCGAGGGGCAGCGAGAGGCCGCGGGCTGATGGCTTTAATACTCATTAATGCTCTCAAGTGGGGCTACAAGTATTAACGCCATCAAACGGGACTGACAGGATTAATGCTCCCAAGTGGGGCGAGAGTATTAATGCTCCCAAACAGGACTGACAGCATTAATGCTTCCACATAGGGCGAGAGTATTACTGCTCACAGACAGGATTAAATATTTAAAATAGTTCACAACATTATTCCCCTTCAATGGATAAAGGTATTCGTGCTCTCAAAACAGAGCTATCGGTATTAATGCTCTCAAATAGGGCGAACAACATAAATACTCTTGAATGGGTACTAACCGTGCTAATGCTCAAACATGTCTTAACAGCATTAATGATCTCAAATAGGGCTGACGTTGTTGATGCTCTCAAGGAAGACTAACAGTATTGATAGTCTCAAACAGGGCTATCTGCATCGAACGGGGCTGATGGTATTAATACTCTAAAGTAGGACTAACAGCATTGATGCCTTCATATGGGGTTGTGACGTGAATGCCTGAAACAGGGTTAACTATTGGGAGTGCAGAGTCCTGTAGTGTATTGGTTAGAGCACTGGCCTCGCACGCGAGAGGACCTGGGTTCGATTCCCAGGCAGTGTGAAGCGTTGGGCAAGTTTCCTTACTCCACACGCCTCTGTTTACCAAACAGTATGTAGGAACCTGGATGTTAGTCGATTGGTAGATTGCTTTTCCGAGGATAATAACCACTTCAAAATACAATAAATAAAACAATAATTTGATCACTCAGTCACGACTGTTTGTGGGACACTGCTGTGCGGAACGAGCTGCCGAGTTTTGCCAACAAAATCAATTTACAGTATATTTTGTGAAGTGCTTTGAGATGCCATGAAGATGTGATAAAGTGCTATATCAAATGCAAGGATTATTATTATAGCTCTCAAAGGTAATAGCATTAATACATTCAAATAGTAAACTAATTGTAAAAGAATGGTACTAGCAGAATTAATGGAATACAAACAGAACTTGCCTAAAAGTACACAGTCACTACATTTTACATTATATTCTGACACATTATATCCTGAAACATCCTGACATGAAGGGTGCTGTATCAAATGCAAGGATTATTATTATTGATGCTCAGAATGTCAACAACAGAATGTCAGCAAACTGATGACTTGTTAAATGATTATGTCGGGTTATTTGATCCAAAGAAAATCTGGCATAGACTGACCATGAGAAATACTGACCTAAATTGGAGAGATTAAAACATTATCATTAATAGACAGAAGGTCCCAGATTCTGTCCTTACCTGTGCTGAGTTAGGTAATACAGTGTCTGTCAGATGTTGGGAGTCTGTTGAGCAATACATTTGGCTTCAGCGTCTCTGGCCTCGTGAAAAGGGGAAAAAAATCCAACGTTCCTACTGTGGATCCCTGTGCAGTAGGATGTAAGTGTACATCTGGTGAGAACAGGAGAGCATTGTGCCCGCCATGTCCTCCCATCATTGAACAATCCGCAGATACTCACTGTCCAGGTTCCCAGAGGTTGTTGAGCTGTATCCCAGCACGAACCAGGGGAGATGCGGAGAAAATTGGCACACAAAAGCCCCACATCGTAGCAGCAGCATTAAATTACCAATAATGTCGAGAAACATTAATTATGGCATTGGAGAACAATTTTCACCTGGGCTAATGTCTTGAGGCTCTTTGCTAGTGTTTTACAGGGTTCACTGACATAGCCAGATGACAGCAGCAATATTGGAAAGAGTGCGGTGGATCTGTGCTGATAAGTTAAATTGCATTGCACAGACCATCCTTTGTAACTTATGGTACTCATCTAATTAGCTTTCTGACTTTGAGCAGCTGTTGTGAAATTTTTGTATGGAATGAAAGTACTGTGACAGGCATGTATCGTTTTGTGTCTTGATTACTCTTTCCCCTTTTCTGCTAAATTGTGATGATTCAGCACGCCTCAACGCGCGTAGGAATTGCGTGATGTTCTTCTTGCACACATGATGGTGCAAATTTATCACAAGAGAACATTGTGTCCCTTGCACACCATTGTGCAATTTCAGGTAGCACGATTAAAATGTGAGTGTCTACAAATTGGTCAGTTACCAGTCTTGGTCTGGTTTGTGTACATGGCACGAACCACAAATCAACCCTGTCCTGTTAGAGCATGGAGAATTGTTAGAGCTTCCTGCTTTTGTTGATTTGAAGAATCCTCTGGTTTATTGCAAGGGATATAGATATTTTCATCCACCTTCCGTCCACCAGTCTTTCAGCTTCCTTGATTTCCCATCTTAAAAATAATCCTTGAATTTGATATACTATAGTACCTTATATCATCAAAATACTTCAAAGCGCTTCGCAAGATTTTACTGTAAAGTGCAGTGACTTTGTTTGGAGGCAAACACAGCAGACAATTTGTGCACAGCAATGTCCCACAAACATTCATGAAGTGAATAACCAATTATATTTGGGGATAGTAAACAATATGATTGTTGAGCGGGTCTTTTGACTGGGATGTGGGATTGGCCATCACAAATCAGCCTTATTCTTTCTTCACAATGACAGACCTTGAACCCAATATTTGTTTCGGGATTTAATCAGTACAATACAATTTACATTAATATAGCGCCTTTCATGTTGGAAGACATCTCAAAAAACTTAAACAGGTTTAACCCTAAATTTAACCAAACCCCAAAAATGCATTCCTGAATCATTCTGCGTGAAAGCAGTTCAAATTTTTTGGAGGCACCTTTCACAAGCTTCAGATTTGATAAATTCACAGGATTGTGGTCAACCCAATGCAGTTTATTATAGTAAAGACCACAGGCCAACCGATGGTGAGTTATCCCTTATACAAAAACTTTCACAGCATAATTAACAGACCTAATTCACATCATCACAAGCAAGATGCATGTAGCTTGAACCATGTATTAGCAACGATTTAACAATTAACAAACCATTCACATTTAACAACAACAACAAAATTACATTTGTAAAGCGCCTTTCACGGCGAGAGGATGTCCCAAGGTGCTGAACAGACAGGATCTTGAAAGTGAGGACAAAGATTTTGAATTCTATCCTTTGATTAATGGAGAGCCAGTGGAGCCCGGTGGGGGTGATGGGGTCATGGAGCCTGGCGCGGGAGAGGACACGAGCTGTAGAGTCCTGGATGATCTGCAGCTTGTGGAGGGAAGAGTTGGGGAGCCCGACAAGGAGTGAGTTTCCACAGTCGACTGTGTTTTGATCTCCCTGCTTTCCCCCCCCGCCCTCCACCCTCCCCGAGCGTAACCCCCAGCTCGGGTCCGTAACTCTGTCTGTCCAGCGCCTTGGGACGTCCTTCCGACGTGAAAGGCGCTGTACAAATGTAATTTTGTTGTTGAAGTGACGAATGCGTGTATGAGGGTTTTGTCGGCCTGAATGGTGTGGCGGAGTCGGGCAATGTTGCGGAGGTGGGGGAAGGCAGTGCGGCTCATGGCACGGATATGGGGGGGAAAGGACAGTTTAGGGTCGAACAAGATGCCCGGGTTCCTAACTGGCTTGGTGAGGTGGAGTGTGCAACCGTGGATGCTGATACTGCCAGAGCTAGAGGTGCTGGTGTGAGCCAATCTGGAAGGCCTCAGTCTTGTTGACATTCAGCTGTAGAAAGTTGGCTCTCATCCAGGGCTTGATCTCAGACAGACAGTCTGTCAGGACATCAGTTATTCTGGAATCGAGGGGGAGGCAGAGAGATATGCGTCATCTGCATACGTGTGGAAGTTGACCCCATGTCTGCGGATGGAGCATATAGAGGTTGAAGAGGAGGGGACAGAGTCCTGAGGAACACCAAACAAGACTGTGCAGGGTCTGGAAGAGAAACCGTTGGCAGAAACAAATTGGAAGCGGTGTGAGAGATAGGTCCTGAACCATTAAAGGACAGAACCTTGAGAGGAGAGGCGGTGGAAGAGGATGTTGTGGTCCACGGTATCGAAGGCAGCAGAGAGGACGAGGAGGCAGAGAGAGCCCTGCTCACATATGGACAAAATATCGTTTGTCACCTTGACCAGAGGTCTCTGTGCTGTGAGCAACATGGAAACCCGATTGGAGGGGCTCATGAAGGGAGTGGTAGAAGAATGAGCAAAGCTGGGAAGCAACGACTCTTTGAAGGACCGAAGGAAAAAGGAGGTTGGAGATGGGCCGGTAGTTAGAAGGCAGGGATGGGTCCAGGGAAGGTTTTTTCAGGATGGGGTTGTTTGTAACTGTTGTCAGGGGAATGAGAAAGGTGCCAGATGAAAGGGAGATATTGATTGTGTCGGAGAGCAAAGGGACGTGGAGGTGAGGAAAGAGGTGGGGATGGGATCAAGGGAGCAGGTGATGTGTTTCATGCTGGTGCTTTCAACTTTAATAACGCTTTCAACTTACACTTGTCCTTCCTTTCTTTATCCCTCCTCTTGTGAAGCTGATAACTCATGCTGGAGTAGAGATAAGGCCACGTGTGTTTTGCTTTTCTGTGTGAGCCGCGACAATGATAGTTAAACAGGAATTTTGAGTGTGGGGACATGGAATTGGCCATATCTATCTTATTCAGCTTCAAATTGGCTTCCATTTGTTTCTTTCCATAGTTTGGATTTATTCAATAGATTTCTACTATTGTTTTGCAAAATAAGTTTAAATAATAAATGGAAAATTAGATTTAAACAGAACTGCCAGCATTTGGAGACTCTCGGGCGCAATGAGAGAGTGGGGCACAAATTGGATTCCTGTCATCAAATGATGCTGAAAGGTTGTATTCCAATTAGTCCTTCAGGTGCTTCTCGTTGCTGGAGTTTGCACTGGGCTGTCAGTTTGATGATTAAAGTGTTGTATTATTTGTGGCACTGAATAGCAAAGATCTGTGCTGGAAATTAAAGAAATCCTCTGGTGGATGAGCAAGTGAGATAATGTGCTTTGAGATTCCATGCTACTTACACAAATTAACATATGCTGTGAAGTTGGGAGGACAAATTTCTTTAAGTAACTGGGCTTTGTTATAGGTGTTCTAACGATTTGAGTATAACAGACAGTAAAATATAGCTGATTGTCTCTTGGTAGTTCTGCTACAGATGGTTTTAACTAAGGATGACGATGCATTTGAAATTTCAACAAACGTTGATGAGAACTGCAAATGAATGCAACAATTGGTGCTGCAGTGCTTCAATATCATTTTGCTCTGAACATTAAAATGCACTTTGTATCAATTATAGCAGGGAAATGGATTTTGACTGCTCTCACCTAAGTTATATTTTGTAAATATTAACTGTTGCTCTTTCACGTTGTTGGTTGTGCAATTTGACTTTTAAAAGAAGGATTTCCTTTGTCTCCGTGAAACATTTTTGCAAATTGAAAACGTAAGCGTTCTGACAAAGTCACTGCTCAAAATATTCAAAAATAAAATGATGGGAACTGTCTTATACTTGGTAGGGTAGGGGAGCACCTTACTATCTTCCCGCTCAACGACACTGGCCTGCTCCAAGTCCCCTGCCCTGCCCGTTCCACCATCGGAGCAGACCCACTCTCTTCCCTCCTTCAAGACCTTCCTCTTCGATTGCGCCTTTAGTCATCTTCCCACCACCACTCCCTTTGCCCCTCCACCCCTCTGGCCTCCAGCCCGCAGCTTGGGTGCAAACTCTTGACTGTCTAGTGCCTTGGGAAGACCTCCCTACGTGAAAGGTCCTGTATAAACAGCAATTTGTTGTTGTTATGGAAGTTAAGTACCATCTGGTGCCATTTTCCTCCCTCACAAGGTTTGCTGTTAATGTTAGAAGTTAGAAATGACTTGTATCACAGATGGATTACCAGGGAGCAGGGATCCCCTTCACCTGGACACTGATCTGAATGTCAGTTAGTGGGATTTTGTTGTAACGAGACAAATCAGAGTGAATCCCACTCACCCAGTCTAACGCGACTTTGGTTTGCGGACATTTTCATTGAGGACATGGGGGATGCCCGGCATCACATCTGGAAAATTTATATTCAGTTCCATGGCAATGAGAAAGTTACAGTTAAAGTTTAAACCGCAAGTTCACACTGTTGTCATTAACAAAGTTAAATGAAGAACCTTGGGACTAGGATCGGAAGCGCTTTGACTTGTGTATGTAGACTTGGAAAACAAGGTGAGCTAGAATGGTGAATGGGCTATGGTTTCCCTGCTCGTCATGTTTCTTTATGTTGCACAACTGTTTGGATTCCTGTTTGATTGTCAAGTGTTTTGATTTTCCATTGATTGAAACTTAATAGATCTCCTGCTAATCAGATTGGAGCAATTAACACAAACTATATTTAGAGACGGCTGCAATTTGGAAATATCCTTAAAGAGCGTTACCGGTTCGGGTTATTTGACTTAAATAGCTACATAGAGAAATAAGTCATGAAAACATGCCTTTCAGCCCAACTAGTCTTGCCAGTGTTTATGCTCCACATCAGCCTCCACTCCTCCTTTTTCCCTCTCCGATAGCCTCTATTCCCTTCTACCTCATGTATGCAGCAAGTTCCCTCTTGGATATATTAAAACTTTTTGCTTTTTCCACATGCTCACCGCCCTATGTGTGAAGAATTCCTCCTAAACCTCCTAATTCGTTCTACTACTTGCAGCTTATATTTATGTCCTCTAGTTTTGCGCTCAACATTAAGTGAAAACAGCCAATCAACGTCCGTCCACCTTATCAAATCCTTTCATAATTTTGAACACCTCAATCAATTTAGCAGCAACTGCAATATAAAAAGTAATTGCAATACAGTAATTGGAAAATCCTGTAGCACAACAGTTCCAGCATTAATTTAACCATTCTTCCATGTTTTCAGACTGCTTTAAAAGTGATTACTTATAAATACTAGTTTGTAATGATATCCTAGCCCCAGTGGTGTCCTGGTATAGTTTTAATATTGACCATTTAGGATTGAATCTCTTTTAGCATTTATTATCCTTGGGTCGTCCTCCCGATGTGAAAGGCACTATACAAATGTAATTTTGTTGTTGTTGTTAAATCAAATGTAATTTGTCATTTTGCGTAACCTTAACTTGACTTTTTCTGCCATGTATCTGTTTTTTCTCTTTTTTCAGGAATCTGAAGAGTGGAGGTGGTCCAAGAAATTGAGTGTTTCTTGTAAATCCTACGTTTTGTTTCTGTTCACGGATTTGGTGAAAATTGTGGTGAGTTATCCAGGTTGGGAAAATGTCTGTGGATATGAATAGCCAGAGCTCAGACAGTAACGACGATGATTATGATGGAAACTCTGATGATGATGAAGATGATCAGGAGGATATGAGTGACTATTATGAAGGAGTGGCGAATGATGTGGAGCAACAAGGTGCAGATTCTTTCGACCCAGAGGAATACCAATTCACCTGTCTAACCTACAAGGAGTCCGAGAACGTACTAAACGAACAAGTCGATACTTTGGCAAGGAGCCTTAAGGTGAGCTTTAAGAAGCTGGTGTACTGAGCTGTATTTGAATAACATTTTAATAACATTTTGACTGAAAACTTCCATAAGAGGATAGTTTCTCCTTTTTTCCTGGCCAGCAATCGCCCAAATAAAGTTGGTCATTCACTTCATGCCTGTTTGTAGAACATTGCTCTACGCAAATTGGCTGCCTTGTTTGCCCATACGCAAAAACACTCTTTACAATCTCTGCACTTTACAGTACAGGCTAGGAAGCACTTTGAAATGTCCTCAACAACAACAACAACTTGGATTTATATGGCGCCCTCCACGCCGGATGGCGTCTCAGAGCACTTTAAGCTTTCCTCCTGACATGAAAGGAGCTATACCAAATGCAAGGATGATGATGATGATTATTTTATTATTATAAAGTGTCACTTCGAGAATGGAAGAATTGTTCTATGCTAAAAATCAAATGCGTTAAGATTAATTTCCACTCTGCACTGAAGTCAAAAGACAATTTGTCAATTGATAATTGTATTTTAAAAGATTTTGCTTCAACAGTTTAATGGAAGAATAGTGTTTTGAGGCTTTGGAATGTGCAACTAAAAACTTGTGTGAGTGTGTGTTGCATAAACCTGTATTACTTGATCCAGTGCTGCACCTCATGTAACTCTGATCGTACATGAGGCATTGAAATGTAATGGTCGCCCTAATGTCATCCTCTCAGTTCTCTCTTTGCCCCCAGAAGATTGCTACACTGCGATAGTTTTGTAGTGGATTAATATTTTAAGAGCTATGCCATGCCAGAGACACCTTTGTGTAGCAGTGAGATCAAGCACTGTACTTTGAGATCAAGCTTTGCATCTGTTCCGTGCAATTGAGTGCTGGTGTTCCCATAATATCCACAGCTGGAACATTCAGAGTCCAATATAATTGGGGCCATGTCCATAACTCTCGTCCTCTTTCACTTTCCTACCACATGATGGGGATTGACCCATCAAGTTTTTCACAATTTACAAAAAATTGCTTGGATTGACCAGGTAGTTACACTAGTTGCACAGGTTATTAAGTATGGTGAAATCATAAATGTTTTCATAATCTGGTTAAAATCCTAGAATCTGACCACCTTCTGACTATTCCTTTGTAAGTGAATTGAGAAGTACATCTGGACATAGGCTTAGCTCTGCCTCGTGAACTGCTATTCGTAGCCTGAGGTGAAAATAAGTGTATCTAAGGGGATTGGGACAGAGCAGGGAATTGGGATTAGGATGGACAAATTCTCGAAGATGCAAACACCGACACAAAAAAAGGAATGCAGTTTTCTTTTTGTCTGACTCAAGCGAAAGTGCTGCAGGGTGAGTCAGGCTGACACCTATGATGATCTGATGTGATTGCGATTCAATCTTGACTTTCACAATAAATAACACTTAACTGTTGTTTATTATGGAAGTCAAGATTGAATCACAATTTTTTTTCAACAAAAACAGCAACAAGGTTACATTTGTATAGCGCCCTTCACGGCGGGAGGATGTCCCAAGGCCCTGGACAGTGTAATAATAATAGTAATAATCCTTGCATTTGATATAGCGCTTTTCACGTCGGGAGGACGTCCCAAAGCGCTTCACAGAACACACTGTAAAGTGAATTGACTATATATTTGTGGGCGAACGCGGCAGCCAATTGCGCACAGCAATGTCCCACAAACAGTCGTAGATTGAAAATGACCAATTTATTATTGGTTTTGGTTTTGGAGGGTTTATTATTAGGCTCTGTGTGGAGTAAGGAAACTTGCCCAAGGTTTCGCCCTCTGCCTGGAATTGAACTCAGGTCTCTCACTTGCAAAGCGAATGCTCTAACCACTGAGCTACAGGACTCCTATGATCAAAATACCAGAAGGGAATCATGTGTAATAGGTTGATCATATCTTCATGCTTCAGACTGTTGAACAATGTTCAACTTAACAGACAATGATGAGAATGGGGGCAGTATTGAAGAGCCTCTCTCACCCGCCTCCTCATACATGTGGTTCCGGGAAAAAAAATGGAAGATTCTCAAAAAAAAACCATAATTTTCATCTGACTTGTAAAGTCGCTTCTTGTGTTAAGGGTGTTTCTGGTGTTAATGTTGCACATTGAATGTTCTTTCAGTGTGTGATATTCTCAGCTTGGAGTCACAGATCTATTTTACACATGGAAATATCCGATGCTTTTAAAGCACTTTTTTTTTAAAAGAACAAACTTTATGATAATCCTTGCATTTCATGTAGCTCATTTCATGTTAGGAAGACGCCTGAAAACGTTTCACAGTATTTACTTAGGCACTTTGAGATGTCTTGAAGATGTGATATGGCGCTATATCAAATGCAAGGATTATTATTAGATGTAGTGTCGGTGTTCTGTCGGTAAACTCAACAGCTAAATCCAGGCTTCAGGATGTTTTTTATATTCCCAGCAGGACCAAACAAAGCAAGCTATCTTAATCGGTTTGAAAGTCCATCTGGATTACAATAAAATCAACATTAAAAAACGAATTATTGCAAATTCAGTGTGTGTACTTCCCTAAAACATTTTGCAGAGCAATTTGTGCGTTCAAAGTTTTTAAATTTAACTCAATACAAGCAGCTGTGTACCAGTGGAGGGATTTATATGCATGCATGACTCATAATGTAGATTTTAAGTAAAGGAACTCCTTTGGTGCACATGTCAGCAAGATGCTCTGCTTTATAAAAACACAAATGTACACACTTGTTTCCGAAGTACCTTAAACTTGTTGAAGCAAATATTCACGAAGGTACCATTTCAATCACTTAAGAATCTAGTTTAATGTCAGTTATATAATATACTATTGATCAGTGAGTGCCTGCTCCCAAACGTGTGTACGGGCATAGTGTTAAGTGTGGTGGAGAAGATGGGCCTAATGGTATGCTCCGTTTCACGTCAGTAGAGAAACCTATCGGGTTTGTGATCTTCCTAGAATTAATTCTCATTGCAAAAATTCCAAAAGCACCTCATTCCATCCTCCTTTGTGTGGATCAGGGCGAGGTGTATTTTGTAGCTCTGACGAGATTAGATTTTGCTGTTGGCCGATCTCTTTGCAAATCTCAGATGTGCTAGAGCCACCCCTATCGTCTGGCATGGATACGTCCACTTGATATCCTGGAGTGAGTCACATTGTAGTTTCGGCAAGCTGAAAAATATGTGTTGTCAATTTCAAAACAATGTCATCTCTCCCATTTTCTTAAACTTCCTAACTTCTTCCTCAGTTTTGTGCCGTCATTCTTTATAAGCTACGGTAGATCTTTTTTCTCACTGACCAACTCAGAAGCAGAGAGGATTTATATAAATATGTCTTTTTTCTGGTTATGCTTCAATTCAGAAGTCCTATGGAGTCCTGTAGCTCAGCGGTTAGAGTACTCGCCTCGCAAGCGAGAAACCTGGGTTCGATTCCCGGCAAGTCGAAAACTTGGGCAAGTTTCCTTACTCCATACACCTGATAATAATCCTTCATGAAAAAAAACAGTAATAATTTGGTCACTCAATCCACGACTGCTTGTGGGACACTGCTGTGCGCAATTGGCTGCCGCATTTCGCCCATAAAATATAGTTATTTCGCTTTACAGCATATTCTGTGAAGCGCTTTCAAACGTCTAGAAGACGTGAAAAGCGCTATATCAAAAGAAAGAAGCGAGTTTCTCCTGATTTTGCCGCTACAAACTCAGTTTACCAAAATTATTTTTAAAAATGCACCAACCTTTATAGAAAGTTTCTCCTTATATTTGGCACTAGCTTTAAAATGTCAAGATTGAACTAGACTTTTTCCGATAATAATCCGTGAAATGTACCAGTTAGAGCATGAGATTAGAAGTTGGATTAATCAGGCTGGGAACTGATGTACAATTCATGTTGCAATGCTTTTCAAAAGGTACCCAAAAGAAAACATAATTCTTTTTACGTTTTTTTTAAAAAAGCCCCTTCTATGGCTACTGTTTTGTAGCCACCAGGTGTTGCTGCTGCACTTATTTAAAACTGAGATGGACCTATTTCTTTGTTTTGAGAGTGCAGCTAGTAATTTACTGATGGGAGTAACTTACAGCATTTAGTGAACACCTGCTATTGTATTTTACAGCTTATCTACAAATAGTTTTCAGCCTGACTCAGTTGTCAGCAATCTTGCCTCTGAGACAGTAGGGTGTAGGTTCAAGCGCCACCTCAGGGGTTTGGGCTCAAGGTCTAGGCTGATGCGTCATTGCAGCGTTGGGGAGCACTGCATTATCACTGCATTATCACTGCATTATCAACCAATCTGTTTGTTTGAATGGACGTTAAAAATCCCATGGCACCATTTGGAAAGAGAAAGGAGTTTCTCCCAGTGTCTTGGCGGATAAACTCTTAAGGATTCTTAATTGGTCACTCACTTGGCTGTTTGTGGGACCTTTTTGTTCACAAATTGGTTACTGTGTTTGCCTTTGATATATACCCAGTTATTGTACTTAGCAGTAAAATTCTGTGAAGCACTTTGAGATATTTTAATGACATGGTCAAATGCAAGGATTATTATTTACTTGAAATCTGAGCACAAAGGAGACCCTTCAGCCCATTTTAGATCAATTTTACAGAATACCAACAGAATACTGTCTTTCCATTCTACCGTCAAGCTATTCTTTGTGGAGTCCTGTAGCTCAGTCGTTAGAGCACTCGCTTTGCAAGCGAGAGACCTATAGAATCATACAGCACAAATGAGGCCATTCGGCCCATTGAGTCTGTGCCGGCTCTTTGAATAGAGCAATTAATGTCAATCCCACTCCCCAGCCCTTTTCCCATAACCCTGCAAACCCGTCCTCCTCAAATACCCGTCCACTGCGTTTTTAAAAGTTGTTATTGAATCGGCCTCCACCACCCTTTCAGGCAATGGGTTCCAGATTCGAACAACTCGCTGAGTGAAAAAATTTCTTCTCGCCTCCCCTCTGCTTCTTTTAGAGACTATTTTGAATCTGACCTCGAGTCACTGACACACCCACCAGTGGAAACAGTTTTTCCCTTTTTAACCTATCAAATCCCCTCATGATTTTGAAGACCTCTATTAGGTCTCCTGAGTTGAATTGAACCTGAGTTCAATTCCAGGCAGAGGGCGAAACCTTGGGCAAGTTTCCTTACTCCACACAGAGCCTAATAATAATCCCTCCAAAACCAAAAACAATAATAAATTGGTCATTTTCAATCTACGACTGTTTGTGGGACGCTGCTGTGCGCAATTGGCTGCTGCGTTTCACCCACAAATATACAGTCAATTCACTTTACAGTATATTCTGTGAAGCGCTTTGAGACATCGAGAAGACGTGAAAAACGCTATATCAAATGCAAGGATTATTATTATTATTATTCTTGCATCAAGTCCATGTGCTGCTCTCAGCTATTACTCCTCATAACTTGGCAGCTGTTAATTACTCTCTACTTGTGGCTTCATACGGGGAACATTTTTGTGACTGGACTGGAGGGTTAAGGCCCATAGTGTAGGACACTAGTAAAGTTGAAAAATAAGTGGGAGTAAGGATGAGAAAATCTTATTAATAACAATCCTTGCATTTGATATTGCATCTTATCATTGAGACATCTCAAAGCGCTTCACAGGATACACTGTAAAGGTTTGACACTATTTTGTGGACAGAATGATAAATCAGGAACTAAAGATTGATTAATGTCCAGCTTGGGTTTTAAAAGCCTGTATGTCTGCAGGAGAAATGGAAGACTGAGGGAGGGAAGTAGTTGTGTAGCCTTGTGGCCTACAATTAAAAAGCATTACTTTTTATAGTCCGTCTGAGGTATTCTAAGACTTGAGGCTGTGTTTGCGATTGAGTGATCTAATTTTGAAAGCGACATTCCACCCTGTAAAATAGCTGCAATATGAAGTTCAAATTATGATGTAATTAATTAACACAGACAGATAAATGGGGCTGAAAGGATGGCTCTTAAAAGAGCCAGTACAACCACGATAGGTCGAATGATCACCTCTTGGTGCTGTAAATTTCTATGGTTCTAGGCGATCTGAAACTTCATTCCGGCCCACCTAAATCGCTAAATAGCTCAAGATGTGTTTTGTATCTGGTGATTTTGTGATGGACAGGGTTTTCTGATGTATTTTTACTTCTTTTCAGGTTCAGCCGTCTGTAGCCAAGCTTATTTTAGTAAACTTCCATTGGAAAATCCCTGAAATTTCAGAAAGGTAAAGAATTTATTTGTTTTAAGACCGCTTTGTACGTGCAGTTTCTGTGGTAGGATTGCCTCTGTATTACGCCTGCTAAGATTTTATTTGCTGGAAAACCAATTCCTTCTCCTCTCCTGTTTCAGGCATACGTCTAATGCAACCCAGCTTCTGGTGGAAGCCAGAGTTCAGCCGAGCACGTTAAAAAATGTAAGAACTGTACAATATTGCTTCAACCTGTCTGATGATTCGTTGAATATGTGGGGATTTCAGTTTGTTTCAAATTGGGGCTTCAATCAGTAGCACTCTCGCCTTTGAGTCAGAAGGTTGTGAATTCAAGCCCCAAATCAGGGCTTTGAACTCGTAGAGTCTACGCTGACACACCAATGCAGAGCTGGGGTGCGCTGCATTGTTCAAGGACCCTTCGGATAAGACGTTAAAAAGGTCCCGTCTACCTTTTCGGGTGAACTTTAAAGATCGTGTGGTACTATTAGAAAAGAGAAGGGAGTTTCTCCCAGTGTTCTGGCCAACAATTCCTCAAATAAAATTGGTCATTCATTTCATGGCCATTTGTTGTGGACGTTACCATGCGCAAATTGGTTGCCACATTTGTCTGCAAATACACTGTCGTTACACTTTACAATGAATCTGTGAAGGGCTTTGATGATAAGGCGCTATAATCAAATGCGAGGATTATTATGTTGTCAGGGCATTTCATGCGTTTCCTCTCATTTGTTTCCAGACCTTGATACATTCCTCCCACCAGTGTGGTGTGTGTCTGCAGTTAGTTCGGAAAGAGAACCTGATATCCTTGCCCTGCCATCATCAATTCTGTCGCAGCTGCTGGGAGCAGCACAGCACTGTACTGGTGAAGGATGGCATTGGAGTGGGTAAGACAAGGATTTGGTATTACAATATACAAAAAAATCAGGACTGGCCTACTTCTGATTGAAATATGACATTTCAGTGGTGGACGTGCTTTCCCATCTGTCACTGAAATTATTTGCCTTGCATAATGGCTTTTAAATATAGCTACAACTCGTGGTTTTATCTGATCCGCTCTCTATTCACTCCAGGGCAACTGATGCCAAAGCATCCATGTTGGCAGTGTTAGTGGCAGGACAGCAGTTCATAGCCAAGATTCCCTAAATGGCAAGTAGCTGCTTCAGTTAATGTCATTTGGCAGTAATAACATTACTGTGATTGCACACGAAAGCTGAAAAACTCAGAGGGACAACCATTCTGAGCCTGAGTCACATGTCTGTTACTGACTGATTCAAGACTCGTGTATCATCACAAGCCTGGGAATAAATTGATCATAAACTCTATTCTCCCCTCCACCCCCTTTAAACCGTGTTGCCGGTTTTAAGGAGATTAAAAAAGACGAATAAATGTGCGTTATACATTGGGAGTATTAATTGAGCAAGTACTTGTGAAATCACAGCACTGGATTGGCCTGGAATTGTAGAATTTCTAACTTCTACAACAACAACTTGCATTTATAAAGCGCCCTTCACGTCGGGTAACAATTTGGACAGTCATGTTAAGGTTAGTTACTCGACTGAGAAGCTTGAGGTAATGGAGAGAATGTATTTAGTGGGGCAGGGCAGGGTGTGAGCGTGTGTGGAAAGGAACAGTTGGTATAGGGGCTCACGTGACTTACCAAAGAGCACCGAATGGTCAGTGTAGGACTAATAAACAACAACAACATTTGCATAGCGCCTTTCAGGTCGGGAGGACGTCCCAAGGCGCTGGACAGTCAGGCATTTGGACCTGAGCTGGTGGTTGGGAGTAGAAATCTTCTTGTGGTTCGTTGGTTAGCTCTTTAGTGGCCATCCAGACTGCCAAGCTACTGGTTTTGTAGCCCCTGACTTTTGAATTGCCCCTGCTTACCCAGAGCATAATAAAACTGATTCCTTTCTAATAATCGACTTTTGCTGATGTGTGGCACTAACCAGTATGCAATTTCCTTAGGAATATCCTGTATGGCACAGGACTGCCTACTCCGAACACCTGAGGATTTTGCTTTCCCTTTGCTTGCTAGCGAAGAATTGAAAGAAAAATACAGGCGCTACCTCTTCAGGGATTACATAGAGGTGGGTGAATTTCATTAAAAAAAACATGTGCAAACAAAAGGTTAGACACCCAGCAGGTGTGTCTGAATGCAATTTCAGCATTATGTTATGCAACATAATTCCTAGAACCTGACATCAGCCTTTTTTGGGGTTAGTATGAATTGACTTGGAAGTATCTGGTCTACGAATTACGGGTTAACCTTTCACAGAATAAAGTCACATTGCTCCTGCTGTTTTTCTCAGGAACTGAAATGAAAAAGGCTTAGGTTTGTTCTCAACCAAGGAGATCTCTATTCCTGGTAGCACTGAATCACTTGGCACATTGATGCTCTTAAACTTTGAAGGTGGTATTAGCCTAGAGTTTTGTAGTTGAGCTGCTTTCTATTTTTAGGTGACAGGCCCGGCACAATATTTGACAGATTGCATTTTTAATGAACTGCATGCAATAAGATTGTTGGCAGACATGGGCTTGTCAGGCCCACTTACCGTCAGTTGAAAGGCATGTGGTGGATGTTGTGTGATGCAGGGACTGAGGTTGCCACCACTTTGGTTCTGAAGGCTTCTTTTCTAAAGATGTCAATTTTATCCATGTAAGCACTGACCGTATAATATTATAATAACAATAATTATTATCTTTGCATTTGTTAAAGCGCCTTATGTCATTGAGACGTCTCAAAGAGCTTCACAGAATATATCGTAAAGTGGATTGACTGTATTTTGTGGACAAAATGTGGCCGCCAATTGCGCACAGCAGTGTCCCACAAATCGGAAGCTCGAGGGAAGTTTTTATTCATACACATGTTTATACTGTCATACTTTGTCCATCAATCCTCTGAGTCTGAAGTTTGGGGGTTGAAGCCCCACATTGGGACAAGGAATCCATATTGTTTATGCTAACACTAGCAATACAATGTGCTGCCTTGTTTGACGTGCTGTCCTTTGGATGAGACATTAAGCTGAGGTCCTGTCTGCCTGTCCAGGTGGACGTTAAAGATACATGGCACTATTTAAAAAGAAGAGACTTTCTCCTCGTGTCCTGGCCAACAACATTCCACCCCCCCCTTAAAATTGGTTACTTATTCTGTGGCTGTTTGTGGAACATTGCTGTAGACATTGCCAACAACGTACACAGTCACACTACTATGTCCTGTGAAGCTCTTTGAGATATTGCGGCAATGTGATAAGGTGCTATATCAAATACAAGTATTATTATAATAATACAGTTTTGCTTATGGAGTTATTGGTTTTGAATTGGGGTGTGGACCAATAATTTTACTTATCGAAAGCTCCAAAATGTCACAGAAATACTACCTTATGAGAGCAGTTCCAATGTCAATAAGACTAGGAATGAGGGTGGACAAAGGAAATTGGATAATTATTAGAAGTCAAGCAATACAAAAAAATCTGGGAAAGGATAGGAAATTGGGAAATTGGAATAGACAAATCAGTGAGTGCAGGAACTGGCTCGATGCATAGACTCGATTGGCCCCAGTGATCTCCTTTTGTAATTCGAGCATTACTCAAATCCTTTGTGGCCAAGGAATCCATATTGTCTATGCAATTATACAAATATTGGATGTATAATTTAGGTTGTAATGTTAGACTGATATCCTGGAGTAATTGCTCGAGCCACTACTGATTCCAGGGCATTGAAAGGAAAGTTGAAAATATCTTGCAAGGTATCAACTTTAACCATGTCATTAAGGATCTTTAAAGATTTTTTTAATCAATTTGAACCTTAATTTTTTTTTAATTATGCAGTACGAAATAGCTTTATCTTTGCTTCATATTGTTTGATCAATTTTTTTAAAGACTCAAAATATAGACCTGGAGGGGAAAAAACAGGACAGAGAGAGCTGTTATTTCTTGGATAACGAAACAAGTTTAATGGTCCTTACATATCATGGAAAAATGTTAATGTCTAGCCAATGCCATTTCTTTCAACTCTGTGCGACAACACTGAGAATAAGGCTCAGCTCCATAACATCACACTTGTTGGCAGTAATCATGTATTCTGAACTGATGCAGTGCTTCCACATTATTCCAGCCCTGGAATCTGACCCTTAACTAATGCAGCTACAAAATAACTTTAATGCATTCCGATTTGATTCACTTAAAAAGCTAATCTTGTGTAGACGCGAGTCAGACACCTTTAGCCGTGAGATTTTATTAAGATCAACTTGCAGTTTACCAGTTTGCTCTGGTAAGAGAGCCTTTCTACAGCAAAACAAAGGCTTAAAGGGAGAAGGCAATGGTGGGTGAGATCAGCTGGATAGAGTGCTTTCCGCTCATCTTTTTTATTAAAATAAATGTGTCAGATGGAGTTTCATCTATCCAACATTGCTGGAGCAAGGAATAATCGCAGCCAGCTGGCTACTGTTCTCACATCAACTGCAGGACTTTCTTTCTAGGGTGAGCTTCTTGCAGCCATGTTGGAGAGTCTCTCTACACATCAGTGGAATGGTCCAGGAAGGGAAGGCAGTTCCCATTTAATCTAACATAGATTTAATATCAGAAAGATATACGCTTGTCTATCTTGTTGCTACGTGTTTTTGAAAGACCGAGGTGTTCATTTTATAGAAAGTGTGTTCTCCGTTAGTCCTTCTATCCTACCTTTCCTTGATCTAGATTTTTTTAAAATTTCCATGAGTCAATCTGCTTCTTCCTCGATTTCTCTTGAACAGTATTTCCCAATGCTCCTCTTCAGATGCATTTTGTGCATCTCGCTCAAACGATAATCTCTGCAAAGCACTTTTGAAGTTTTTGACAAATGTGTAATACAAATGCAAGTTTATTGCATTTGTAACTGTGCCTTTTGAAAGCCGAAAGCCAATTTAGTGCCGAGTAGGTTAATCCAGTCAATAACTCTTGTGTTGGTCAATACAACTAATTACAATAGGAGTGTATTCTACCTGTCGATCTAAAATGGGGGAGAAATAGACTATATGTAGATTATGTATTTAAAATCAATGGTCAGTTGATCCACATGCAGAAGAAATCTGTGAGTTCTTCCAGTCTTTCTGCTGAAAGCGATATTCTGTTTGACAGTGTGATGGCTTATCTTCAAATAGTGCAGATGAAAATATTGGAGGTTTCTGGGAGGCGAGATGTTTTATTTTTGCAAACGCAATGCTTTTCACTTGCAATAGGCTAAAATAAAAATCTTTCCAGTTCCCTAACAACCCATGTGGATCAGTATAATGTGTCCATCATAAAAACTTGTGTTCTGGATTAAGACTAGAATCATGAGGATATACATCAGTTGAACTGTTTTAACAACCAGAACGGAACCTCTTCAGTTTAAAGAACGCTGTTGATAGTAATTATGTATAAATCAAATTAGAAACTGATTCTCAAAGCTGCAGATATCTTGGCAGCACTCTGAATTTGACCACTGAACAGTCAAGTTCTCACTGCAGAATTGCCAGTTCAGAAAAAAACCTGTTGCTTGTAATAGAGATATTAGGATACTTTGCAGCTTCATCTTGGCATCAATTTGTTTAATTTATATAACGGACCAAGGTGCCCAAAAATGTCTTGACCTTTGTGAAACAAGAGAGGTTTGGATAAAGAATGCCTTTTGGTCCATTTGATACCAGCTTTCCACTGTCCTTCCTGGCAACCTGTTCCTGCTGTTGACTAAACTCTGTGTAAAGAAATACTTCCTGGTGTCTGTTCTAAACGTACCTCCCATAACCCCAAAACTTGTCCTGCTGCTTTGGCATATTTGTAAGTATTATTCTGCATTTATTTTCTCTTCCCCATTTTATATAGTTTATAAGTCCTATTTGAGAATCGGAAAGAGTTTTTGCATCTGATGATTTTTCTTTTCCTGTTTTCACAACAGAGCCATTATCAGCTTCAGCTGTGTCCTGGTGCTGACTGTCCGATGGTGATCCAGGTACAGGAGCCGAAAGCCAGGCGTGTGCAGTGCAGCCTTTGTAATGAGGTTTTCTGGTAAATGTTATTTCATCTTATTCAGTAAATTTATACGCACAAACAGCCAGGGAGGCCGAGAGCATTATAAAGGCATTGTTATATCTTCCACAAAGGTATTGAGATCAATGAATCCCTGCAGATATCTCTAGTACCTTATCTCAGATCATTGCTCGTGTCTGTTTGGTAGTTTTGTTGGAAATTTTAATTTGAGTCCTTGTGTCTTCTCCAGTAATGATCATCTGATCCTGAATTGCACACCTGTACGGTCAATTCACTTTACAGTATATTCTCTGAAGCGCTTTGAGACATCTCAACAATGTGATAAGGCACTATATCAAATGCAAGGATTATTGTTATTTATTTAATAGGGATATGGGGAAACAACAACAACATGCACGTTTGTAGCACCCTCCATGCAGGGTAGAGTCTCAGAACGTTTTGACCTCAGAAACATCGGATCTCAGCGCTCTGCCTTTGCTTCTGTGCAATAAGATAATAATACTTGCATTTAAAACAGTGCTTCATCATGTCAGAAAGCCTTAAATTGCTTCAAACAATTAGTTACTTTGAACTGTAGTGGCTGTTTGATAGGTGAATGATACAGCTAATCAATGCCATTTTCCCATGATAACTAGATGGTCTTTAAAACCGTGTCATTGAGATATTTAGCATACACCAGAACAGGCAGACAAAATCTTCATGAGGACTTCACTGCCCTACAGATCCTCCAGTACTTCTCATTTCTCTTTCCTATTGCGTCATTTTCATTTCCATCACCTTGATCACTGGGAAGTGCTGTAAGACTGCACTTATTTCACAAGAACAGTGAACATTTTAAGATCACAAAGATGTCTTTTGTCGTGCTTTTCCTGAAATACTCCTTAAAACACTTGCTCTCTATTCATATCAAATTAACAACAATTTGCTTAGGCATAGCATCCTTCATGTAGGGTAATGTCTCGGGAGTGCTTCATAAAGACAGGGTTGGATTCCGAGCAAGGGAGGAGGGGGCAGGGAAGAGGGGGAAGAGTCAAAGAGAGGTTTTTAGGTGAATTTAAGTAGAGGTTAGGGGTGTCATTGTTAAAGACTTTGCCACCGCTGGTGGTGCTGTGGGGGTGGGGATGTGCAGCAGGCCCATGTTAGCCGATTGGAGGGAACAAGCAGAAGAGTGGGAGACAATAAATCACAGAGATAGGGAGATGCTAGGGCATGAAGGGACTTATTGGTGAGAGCGAGGACCAACATTTATTAACAACATATTATGCTTGGCTCGGGTGTGTTCATCCAGATTTCACTCTGCTCTTCAGATTACAGAATACCTCCCTGGTGTTTTTCTTAGAAGCACAGTTTACTGTTTGCAAACATTCCTTGCTATTGTACTTGAACTATTACCAAGTTTCACAGTTCATTATGCACAGGTTTAGCCAGTAGTTAATCCTTATTATTTTTAAGTAACCATACTATGACTGTCGGCGCACAGTTTATGGAGTTGTCTAGGCTGTATCTTAGGTATCGCATAATTCTTTGGAGACTTTTTCAATTCCTGTTTTGCAAATGTGTTTTTAAAAACACCCTGAAACTTGATACTACGACACAAATGTCTGTATAGTTGTTGATATATGATGTGTTGCATAGAGAGGTACCAAACACATGTACTATAATGGAAGTATTTAAAAGAGAAGGGAGTTCTGACTAGTATTTTCCCTGAACACCCAAAACAGATTAAATTTGACCGTTCATCTCATCCCTGCTTGTGGATTAACAGCCTTATTTTCCCAGTAGCAAGTCACCACGTTTCAAAGTAACCCGTTATGTGTAGTACTTTGATACCCTTTTACGTGATAATGCATCACGTTAGATGTAAGTAAATGTGTTTAAATCTTTGCTTGAGGGAAAGATTGATGAGACGTCTAAATGGCATGATGAGGCAACATATCAAATGCAAGTATTATTATATTTAAATGTTCCATTACTGGCAGAGCAATATTATGCAGCCATTTGCTTTGCATTGAAACTTCTCTGGCTTGCGCAACAATCCTGTGCTAAGTAACCGGGTAGCTGACAATCTTGATATTTATTGCTCTGAATTGGTTAGTTGGGGTAAGTGTATGGGGATATGAAACTGAATGTGTTTAATTCTTCTAAATATTCCTCAGGGAAGGTAACCCTCCAGATAACCTCCCCTGAGATCACAAATTAAATGTACGTTTTAACCTCATTGTGGGCAACCTACAGATTGGATTTTCTTTATGGGACGGGGGCAGATGGTACAATGGGCTTTTCACATCAGTCCACCAGTGTATCTCTGGTTTGCGGTTTATGTGGTGCACAATCTGCTTGTTTGGTCTTATATTTGGCTGAGAACAGATTGGGAAAAATTAAACATTAGAAGTTCAAATATTCGGGTCCTTATTTGATTCTTAACCTACCTTTCTTTTCACCATTCCCTGGCCGTTTGGGCAAATGTATACCAATGGGCCTTCCATGATGTCAGTTTAAGAGTGAAGTGGTAATCGAGTGTTTCCATCAAAAGGTTATTCCTAAAGCAAATATGCTAACTTGTGGCTCTTGTCTTCCAGCTTCAAATGTCGCCAGATGTACCATGCCCCCACTGACTGCACCACCATTAAAAAATGGCTCACCAAATGTGCCGATGACTCAGAGACTGCAAATTACATCAGTGCACATACAAAAGATGTAAGGAGTTGGCAGTTTAGTCAAGCAATGGAAATGCACAAGCAGTTTAACCTCAGCCAATTGTTTTTGTTGTTAAACGCTTTCTTTGTCTGAGCTAAGACTCCACAGGCTCAGGAAATTATTAGGAAGAACATTCAGATATAACATTGCAGATCACCTTTCTTGGCTACGGTGCAAAATTTAGAATTTATCCATGTTTTACCCTTCTGTTACTTGACTGTCTGACTTTGTACCAGGTTCACCAGAACATTTACGGTGTTCCATTTAGCAGGATGTAGTATACCTTAGCAAGGGTTTTTGTTGGGGGGTGGGGTGGGGTTGGTTAGGTATTGTAAAGCTATTGTACTCAGCTCAGACTGTTAGGAGACTCAATGTTGAAGGCAAAAAGACTGCAAAGTTGTTGGTGAATCTCTGAGTAGCGCTGAGGCAGGATTCGAACACATTGAAGGACCGTGTAAAAAGTAGGTCAACACCATTTCCTTCCCCAACGAAACTTCTTTTTTTCCACCACGTCACTGCTGGGACTCATCTCCTTAACAGAGGTTTATTCGCTGATCAAGCGACGTTTTACTGCTGCCTTCACTGTATGAAAACTGTGACATTACGGTTGCTCATAAATGGGTTTGATTTCAACTTATGCATTTTATCCAGATTTTACAACAGCCTTGAGCAGTAGTTGCACCTGGATTTGTACCCAAGACTTATATTATAAATGCATCTTTGTAGACTGAATGGCTTAATGCATCATCGCTCCTGTACCAATAAGTTGTATTGCCTTGTTTTAACCCTAGTAAATTTACAAGCCCACTTCAGAGTTTTAACTGATGTAAAAGGAGTTATCTAACTGCATGTCGGTTTGTATGTAACGCAATGATGTAATAAGATGGGGGAGTGGGGTGGAACAAGGATGCAACTATTCGCTTGTTTTTGTGACAGATTGTGTTAAGAGGAAAAAAAGCATTGATGCAAGACTTACAAAAAGCTTGAATATATCACGGCATTCTTTTAGAAATAACTGTTTCATTTGTTTTGCTTGCAGTGTCCCAAGTGCAATATTTGCATTGAGAAAAATGGAGGGTGCAATCACATGGTGAGCCAGTCCATCCATTATTCCTTGTGCTTTTATAGATCTTTTGATTTGAGCCCAAAATCAATATTGAATTGCTTTTGTTTCTTTGTTTCAGCAATGCTCCAAATGCAAGCATGGTGAGTTATGTCTGTGGGGACAATATTATGTTTCTATGATCGGTGTGCTCTATTTTGTTGTTTTTAAGATAACCTTTTGAGGGCTATAGTAACCTACAAGGATTTTAATATGTAAAGTCTCTAACAATAGAAAAGCGCAAGGTTTCATATGCTACTTGACAGGAATACAATTTACATTTATAGAATATTACGCCTTTCACATCGGTGGGCATGGGGAGACAGGCACCCGAGCGTGGGAGAGGGGGGTTTCTGAGGAGGGGGTGGAGGGGAGGTGGGTGCTGACAAAGTACGAAGAGGCGGGCATTAAGTGTGGCGAGGTGAGACAGAAGGATTGAATTCCAGACAGAGGGGGTAAAATGGTAGAAAGCTTGCCCACTGATCCAATACCAGTCCAGCGTTGCTAATTCATGGATATGTTGTTAAACTGTTTATATTTGAAAGTTAATCTTAAATTTTATAAAAAGCAGGATGAACCGAGAAATGTGTGCAGGGGAAATCCAGGTAGAGAACTAAATTTAAGAAAATGCTATAATTAGTATGATCCCTGTTTATATTCAAGCAGGTGTGCTCAGTTTTTGCTGTATATTCAAGTGAGATCTCGTTCGCTCCTCGTTCCAAAAGCTGAAACATATCATTTGATCGTAGAGCAGTGGAGACACGGTAGATGATTTGTGCCAATGATACAAATGTTGGCTGATGGATTGTTTGACCGTTTGCAGACCTTGCTGCCCCATTTGGCTACATTTAATTACCAGTCACTGCACTCTTATCAATTACTGTAGAGTGTTTTGAGATGTTTCAACATTATAGATTCTGTCAAAGATTATTAATGCTTAGTGGAGGCTTCAGTAAAAGAATCCTGAAAACAGCAAAGCGAGAGCTGGAGTGAGAGACTATGCTGGTGGGGGTGGGCTGTTGTTTCCTAAGGTCCCACCTGTAGAGGCTGAGTGAAATGTTCATCGATTTGCTTGTGGATTTTATTTAGCTACGGCCATTATTTCACCTAAAAACGTTCATTTGTATGTACAAAACCGTAATACAAAACATTTAGATTGACTTTGAAACTTTTGATTTGACTTTCAGTGATATTTGATATTTTCATCCAATACACAATACAAATTGTTTTCAGATCCAGTCGCTTCACTCCATAGAGACTCTGAAATGCTTTCTAGCTCTGCATTCTAGCTCTGCACCGAATGCAAGCTAGATTACATTATAACGTGAATCATCCTGGGAGGAGAAAGCCAGAGTCTTCCATCTTGTTCTGTGTGGGTGGAAATCTACAACCCTGGTTGAGACTTCCATTTGACAATTGTTTTTCTCGCTGCTGTCAGATTTCTGCTGGATGTGCCTGGGAGACTGGAAGACCCACGGAAGCGAGTACTATGAGTGCAGCCGATACAAGGAGAACCCGGACATTGTGAACCAGAGCCAGCAGGCACAGGCTAGAGAAGCACTGAAGAAATACCTGTTCTACTTTGAAAGGGTAAGTCCCATCAATGGGAATCAGTGCACTATGAGCAATTCACTTTTAATTTTCAAGAAGGGAATAATTTTTCCTTTTGTTTTTTTGTTTGGTCGGCCTGACACACGCGGAAACCTATTACATAGCTTGCCTCTGAAAGTACTGTCTGTCTGCCAAGCGTCCTGGTGCTTGTCCAACTATGACCACCCCATCCATTAAGGCTTTAATGGAGGGATTGTGGGATGGAGTTCCAGAGGTGCAAAGTGGCAGAAGGACCGCCCACTGATAGTGGGCTGAGCAAGGGAGCGAACAGGATGGTAGGGGTTTAGGAGGTCACAGAGGTAGGGGCGAGCAAGACCATGGAGGGCTTTGAAGGTGAGGACCAGGATCTTGAACTGTATCCTCTGTGCGATGGGAAGCCATTGGAGTTGGGCAAGGATGGGGATGATAAGGTCACGCAGCCCAGGGTGGGAGAGGACACGGGCTGCAGAGTTCTGGATGATCTGCAGGCTGTGGAGGGAGGAGTTGGGGAGGCCGACAAGCAATGAGTTTGCATAGTCGAGCCTCAATGTAATGAAGGCATATGTGAGTAAGTGTATGACTAAGAGGTGTCTCATGAGTGAGGGTGCGATGTTTACTCCTATTTGTGATGTTTTTAATCACATAATAGCTTAATGTACAATCCTCTCTCTTAAAACTGTCTACTTTTGGCATTATGCCCTCTTCAGCGTAATTTCCAAGATGTTATTGGATTTCTAGTTTACCATTTGAAAAGTATTCCCTTCCCTTCCTCCCGCCCCGCCCCACCCCAAAGTATGAGTTTGGAACCCTGTCCTGTTTAATGAAGGCTTTTATTTAGAGAATTTCCTTATTCTTTGCTGAAGTGATGTTCCACTGGAAAATAGTTGGCTGGTGGCAATGAAGGTCTCCTTCTCCCGTTTGGAGTGAGCTGGTGGTGCAATATATTCTGCGAAGAGTTACATAGTGATACAGACCACTCGGTCCAACTAGCTTGTGCCAGTGTTTATGCTCCACATAAGCCCCCAACCCTCTTGTCCCTTTTGGTGTGAGGAGGGTAGCTGTTGAGCAGATGAAATGGTAAATAAGAAAAGAATACAAGTTTTTTTTTTAAAAAATGTTTACTTTTCAGTGGGAGAACCACAATAAAAGTCTGCAGCTGGAGGCGCAGACATACCAGCGGATTCAGGAGAAAATCCAGGAGCGAGTGATGAACAATCTGGGAACGTGGATTGATTGGCAGTACCTGCAGAATGCTGCCAAACTGCTGGCTAAGGTTACTAGTCTTCCTGACACATTCACCTGTTGATTGACATTTTCTCTGCTTGCCAGCCTGGTGTAGCAATCTCGCCGCTGAGTCAGAAGGTTGTGGGTTCAAGCCCCACATCGGGATTTGGAATCATATTGTCTAAGCTGACACTTCAGTGCAGGGCTAGGGGGTGTTGCAATGTCAGAGGTACTTTTCCTTCGGATGAGACGTTAAATCGATCCTCGCCTGGCTTTTCAGGTGGATGTCAAAGATCCCGTGACACTTTTTGAAAAGAGAACGGAATTTCTCCCAGAGTCCTGACCAATGATCCCCTGAATAAAGTCGGTCACTCTCTGATTGTTGTTTGTGGGCTATTGCTGTGCACAAACTGTCTGGTCCATTTCGCCTGCAAAAAACACTTTATAACAGTGTATCCTGTGAGACGTCTCGACAACGTGGTGAGGCGCTGTATCAAATGCAATGATTATTATTATGCACTTTTTTTTTGTAGTCCTGCTATCCTTAAGGTCAGGTAACATTTTTACATGTTACAACCTAATTTTCTCAGCATGGATTTGGTAAGAAAGGATCCTTACAGCCCCTTGAATCCCGGGCTTCCGTGTTACAACGCAGGGTTTCATGTCCATATAATTAGACCCCACGTTAGAACGGACGCATAACTAAGACATTTTGTGAGCAAACTATTGAATTCCATTTTTTTAAAAATACCAAACCTGGTTTGCAACCACATAACTGGTAATCATTCCAAGTAAGTCCCTTAGGGGAACCGCTGGTAGAAATTAAAAAATATCTACAGAGGATATAGTTCCTTTTAATGACAACCACAAAATGACATTTGTATAGCGCCTTTCACGACAAAAAGACGTTCCATTTTAAAGTATGCTCTTTCCCCTACTGTTTCTCAAAAATTTTGAAATATGCACTTCCGACCATGTATGCATGTAACGTTTATCATTTTAAGCACCACAGAGATCCAGGTGAAATCATGCCAATCAGATGTCGGCTTTTGAGTTTTGTGTTGTGAAAGGTTATTTTTGTTCAACATAAATTCAACACTCCCGCGCCCTTTAGTAACCTTGTACTCATTTCATCTGAACGAATACAGTCTAAAGTAATTTATAAACATCATGGGAACTCGTATGGCACCTAATAATAATCCTTGCATTTGATATAGCGCCTTATCACAAGATTTTCACAGAATATACTGTGAAGTGAATGACTGTATTTTGTGGAGAAAATGCGACAGCCAATTGCACCCAGCAGTGTCTCACAAACAGTCTTGGGTTGAGTGACCAAATTATTATTTTCTTTTTTATATAAAGTTTTAACTCATTGCTGGTATAAATCGCCTCTTCACGTTTTCTTTTTCTAGTGTCGTTACACTCTGCAGTATACATATCCGTACGCCTACTATATGGAGTCTGGACCCAGGAAGAAACTGGTAAGAATCTTGCATTGAAATATGTTGCATTATTGGTCTGGTATGATAGATTATTGATCAAGATCTCATTTTGGCTACAGCTCCCAAAATACATCTGGTTTACTTGGTGTGTCTTGTTTATAGCAAGGTACACGTTTTTGCATTCATTTTTCTTCACAGGTTTGTTATGGCTTTGTGAGGACGCTGTAACTCTGTGAATCTCTGTTACACATTAGCTGGAGCTATGTGAGGTCCAGTTATGCCTGGTCTATACATTGTATGTACAGGTCTAAACAGCAGCTGAATTTCTGAGAACAGGAAAGATGCACTTGTGGCGAAGGACCTGGTATATAATTGCCAAACATTTCATGTGTCTTAAAACCTGCGTTAATGGTTTGCATTTCGGTACAGCTAATATAGCTGAGCGATCTGCTGTTGCATACTCCGCAGATTGGGGAACTAGAATAATGATTAATTTCATTATCAGTTTGATCTTCGGATGGCTTAGTGGTTACAGAAGGTTCCACGTTCAAATCTGCTGAGTTTTCTGATCTCCGAGGGGCATTAGTGGGGCTACAATTGGCCTTAATACCCCTGGGTAGGTTATGTTAGGTTAGGTTGGGGAAATCTTTTAGATTTCTTGCAAAGGGAGAGATTAGGAGAGAATGTTTTAGATGGGGGGTTGTTAGGACGTGAAAGTGTGCTTGAGGCCAAATCTATGCTTGCTTTTAAGAGGGAATTGGATAATAATCCTTACATTGGATATAACCTCTTTCACATTGGAAGGACGTTTCCAAGCGTTTCACAGGATTTCCTGTAAAGTTTAATGATGGTGTATTTTGTAGCTGAACAATGTCTGCAGATAAATGATCTGAAACAGAGAAATATAGCAGTGTGTGTGCTGAGTGTTTGTATGTAGGGACTGAACGGGGAGCTCTTACAGACAGCACAGACCTGATACTCTAAATAATCGCCTTCTGTGCTTCAAGTTTTTATGGTTCCTGTTTGCTCTCCAGAGCCCCACCCCCCAGCTAGAAGATAAATGCTAGTGTGGGTGTTGGATGAGGACAGCCTAGAAATTGGCTGTGTTACCGTTCTTGGTTGAACAGCTCGCTGGTGCTCACTGACGAGACATGATCGCATAAATAATGGACTTTAATCATGTGTGAGCCCTGACAGTGAGGAACCCTTCTCACAGCAGATTAAAAGTAATTGAAATCTTCGGGTTGGTGGCGGTGGTGGTGGGGCATTAACTTATACCAACTCCTGCTGACCAGGCATTTTAGAAAACTCTCACTTTACAGAGCGCTGCTTTTAATGGTGAATAATATTGGTGGTCTGTAGTGTGTTGAGCTCCTGTTTGATTGGTCTGACTGACACCTTGTCTCTTCCAGTTTGAGTACCAGCAAGCACAGCTGGAGGCCGAGATTGAGAACCTCTCCTGGAAGGTGGAGCGAGCAGACAGTTATGACAGAGGGGTAAGTATCACATCGCACTGAGTAACCCTCGAGAACACTTTCTCATCCACCGTTCATTTCACAAATCTCTATTATAAAGTTCACCTAACCCCAGTCTCTGTCTTGCATTTGGAACGAGTAAGTAAACAGTTCTTTCAGGTTCAAAAAGAGGTATCTGATGGGCGAGTGTTGAGGCACACAAACATTTAACAGGAGGGAGAAGGTGTATGTGTAACAATACTTTGCAGGTACACCAAAACAACAGGATAAGAGGGCAATATATCAGTGTTATGGAGGACAATTGTAGGACAGTATCAGAACTTTGTTTTTATATACACAAACACCCCCCTGCACACACGCAGAAGCTGGAATGGGGTTAGCAGGAAGCAGTTAGGCCATTATGCTGGACTGATTTTATTATAGCTCAGTACTGCAATGGGAAGTCAGTAGTCAGGGTATTTTGGAAGAATAAGATGAAATAGGCCAAAGGGCTTTCTTCATCTGAACCTCTTTGGTAAACTAGTACTTGCTATTGATGCTCATTGTGAATGGTGTCTAGTTGTAAAACGGCTTTGCTGCGGAGGTTATATATATTAATATTATATATATATTATATATATTATAAAGGAGGTTGCAGTTATATTTGTTTTATAACAGATCATATGCTGGATCATTCTGTTGGGAATCAGAACCACTGCAATGTTGAACTAGGAGGTGCGAGCAGGGTGAGGTGTTAAAAGGTGTCTCAGTCACAAGTCATCAGCAAAATAACGTAACCAAGTGTAATTAAAAGGCAGTTTTTAACGAGTGAAGATATGTGCACAGCTGAGAAAGATGAAGAAGTGGACAGATGGCTTTGGTCAACTCTCTTTTGCACTGGCAGGACTGGGTGGGTTGGAGACAGCTGGAAAGGGGCACTGGCTTAGTTGGAAATCTTAGTCTGTTCAAACTGACGCATAAAGCTTTTATTACTGGTATTTTGTACCTACCTTTGAGTGAATTGTATCCAGATACAGTAATACAGCCACACTCTGAACATTAATACTGGATCTACATTACACATGCAGTAATATATCTACCATAACCATACTTTTTAATATTGGATCTGAATCCCATCTCATTCTAATAAACTTGCTTTATTTGGAGCAGCGAGCTAATGTGCTCGTCAGTAATCTTTAAAGAAAATAATACTGTGGTTCTGATGCTTAGTCTTTGGATTGGATTGAAGTGCTTTTCTCTCCCGCCAAGAGTTACAAGTGAGGTGCAAAGTGAGGTTGAACTGCGACTTTCCAACAGAAATAAATCCCAGTTATTAGCAATTGAAAAATGATTCAAATGTTGAAAGAGTCTGGATCGCAAAATAAAAAGTTTTTTTGCGAAAAAAAAACCTAAGGAATATGGCTTTGGATTTTCAGCAGTGGGATAGAGCCTTGTTTAAGCCAGTCTGTTGACAGGTTATTGGGGCTTTGCCTGGACTTTGACCATCGTCTTCTTTCCATTTAGGATCTAGAGAATCAGATGCATATAGCAGAGCAGAGGCGAAGAACGCTTCTGAAGGATTTTCATGATACATCGGACTAAAGCGAGCTAAGCGTCCGGCTGGCTTTTGAAACAGGAGTTGTCTCTGGAAGAAGATGAAATATTGTTTCTAATTTTGTTCATTCATCTTTAACACCTTTTGGGATTTGTTTTTTTTTCCTTTCAGCCGGAGTGGTTCCCAGGGTTTACAGTGGTTCCATTCATGAGGCGCTTTCCCCCCCCCCCACTCCTCTGTCTCTCTCCAGCCCACGGTGTAGTAGTGTTAGATCATAAAAGTTGATGTATTTCTTTTTTGAAAAATTGTACATTAACAGAGGAAACCGAACAGGGGGATTGTTTAAACCTTTTTAGCATTATAGCAAGTGTGAACTTTACAAATGCTTTCACAGAGACTTGAACAATTACAAAAAGTGTCACCTTAACCAAAGGCATTAACGTTGCTACACGTTTTCATTAGAAATATTTGGGGGAATTTGTGGCACAATCTAATCATAGTGCATACTGGCAGCAAGGCACTCTGTATAGACTACTGCTACAACATACAGGTTAAAAGGTCCCCTTGAAACCATTTGTCTCTGGGCTTTGCAGCATTATTTTACTTCAAATGTGAATTTGTTTCATAGTATTGAACTACTTTGAATAGTGATTTCTTTTTTCCCTCTCTCCCTCCCACCCAAACTCTTTTGTAAACTCAAAACAACCCAAAGTCTGGCAGCAACAGCCCTGTGCGGTGTGCTTGTGCATCGCTGGGTTTCTCAAAAAATATCTGAATGAGATGCCGTGTACTTTAGGATTCTTTCTTACCCGCACTGGAGAATACTGCAAAATGTATTTCTCCATTGAGATTAGCAATATAATACTGAGTCTCCACTGTTACTACCTCTAATGTGCTAAACGTAGAGCATTACAGTCATTGGCTTGGGCTGTTACAAGAAGGGGTTTAGAGGCTTATGGGGTTTAGTGGCTTTATATAGCACGCTGTAACCCCTAGAGTGTGTAACTTGTTGCATAATTTAAACCAGCTATTATCTTCAACAACTTGAAAGTCTTTTTTAAAATCCTGTGCAGTTGCGGCTATTTTTCTCCAGCGCTGACATTGTGTGAGGTACTTTCTATTAGTGAGGTGGGGGTGGAGGTGACAGGATATTCACAAAGTAGCGTTTTTTTTAATATAAACCTCAATTGTGTTGGTCAAGCTGTCTCTGGTCTGCCTGGCTCACCGCTGTGTGTTGGTTAGATGTTTTCTGTGTGTGTGGATCTGAATCTGTTTTCTCCCCAAGTATCTGCAGTCATGACATGACAGGCTATGGCTTCTTCCGAGACCTCTGCGAAAGCTGCCCTCGAGTCGAACACTAGCACCTCCCCCTTCCCTACGTTTGGTTTCCCCTTCCCCACGAGCAAGCATGGTTGAGATTGGCAATTTAGCAGCATGGGGTTGGGGGGGAGGGATGGAGGGGATTTCAGCCTGTATCCTTTCCCCATTGCATGGTACTCCATTTATATTCTTTTCAAAAAGCAATAATAAAAAGTTACTTTATACTGCAAAGAATAACACGCCAGCTTGGCAGTAGGTTTTGACCTCTGATTTCTTCTGTCATCCGTGTTTGTTTTCAGGTTTACAATGTTATAACCACTCTTCACCAGTCTTGTGTTTGCCTGACATCTTCTGTTCTGCATTGTTACTATGAATGGGCCTTGGCTTTTAGCAGATTAATCCAGCAGATGTACTCTTTACCTTTCGATTTCTCCAGTCTTATAGAAAGGGAAAATAATATACATCTTTGCATTTCGTACAGTGTCTTCACCTTGGGAGGACGTCTCAAAGTGCTTCACAGGCATTTTACTGTGTATTTTGCAGCTGAATATTTAAAACCAGGTTCAGTAGATGTGACTTGGTAAATGTTCACCTTAAAATGGTCACTGCTGCAGAGGAAATAACAATGATTGTAAATGGCCTTCACTGTATGGGTTTCCATAAACCAGATAATAATAATCCTTGCATTTGATGTAGAGTCTTATCACTTTGTTGAGACGTCTCAAAGCGCTTCACAGAATATACTGTAAAGTGAATTGACTGTATTTTGAGGGCAAAACCTGGACTTTGCCATCAGTTGAGTCTTTATATAATAGCTCTTGCTATTTATTATCTTGTGATCTACTCCTAACCATGGAAAGTGGGTAGGATTCTGCTTATCCACTTGCAGGGGTGTTAGCTCAAATGAGTTTTTATGCTGTTTATTTGACACCTATTAATTTTCGTATTCACTACACCCCACTCAGATAGGGAAAAAAATGCCATCAATTGGATATCCAGTGCTCCTCTCCCCTCCTACCGATTGACCAAGCGACCTGCTAAAGAGCTGTGGAATGAATTGCCTTCTGTGACCCTCTCACCTCCTCCTCCTCCTGAACGTTCTGATATTGAGATCTGAATTCTTGGTCTCTTTCCCGAGTGCATAGCAAAACAGTAAAACTCACATAAGTCTGATCTGTAAAAATCATATAATTGCCTAAGTCGAACATCTCCCCAAGTCCCGTTCCAAGAATTTATATTCTATGCAAGTACTTAAAATAAAACATACTTTGCATAAATCCTATTAAATATATGGTCCCACTTGATACGACGTGTGAGTTTTGCTGTATTGTGGATGATTTGCTGCCTTAGAGACTTGATTACAAACTCCTGGTGGTCAGGCATTGCCCTTTATTGTATTGCTTGCAGCCGGTTAGTGAAATTACCCCGTGTTTTTGCTCCCAGCACTGATTATCATAACCACTGCCTGTTGCATTTTAATGAATGAAGCACGTTTCTTTCAATGCCTGGGCTGGGTGATCAACGCTGTGTGTTTTTTCCTGTGCGGGACTTTGAGAACAAATGACCTCTGGTGACAGTTCCTACAAAGGGAGATTAGAAAGTTTTTTTTTCAATAATCCATTGCTGTGGTAATGCAGACAGGGGGAACGTAATGCGGATCAGTATTTGAGCTCCTAAAGGGATTTAACCAATGCTGGCAAATCACATGTGAATGTGTGGATGTTGGACACTAAGGAGCAAGGCTTGGCTAAGGTTTTAGCTGCCAAACACTACTGTTGTACTGGTATTTTGTTTTCCAGCCTCCTGATTTTGCTTTTCACTCCCTTTATCTATTTCTGGGAGCTACGTATATATTTCCCGCTCTCACCAGGGGGCTGAGGAGAGGAGAGTCTGTTTTATTTTAATGGTATTCAAAAGCTGGCCATGCAAGCTACTCTTAAATAAAAAATAGTCAAGTAATCTGGACCCTTGTTTCTGAGCAGTGGTCCTAACTGGGCAAGGCAAGCAGCAGGAAGATTGACAGACAGAGCTCTCAATGGCAAGCATTGCGGTTTAGTTGGTTAAATTCCAGCAGCTGTTCCTCTCCCCCACCACCACATGTATTCTGGGGATCCCCAAGCCTTGGCTATCACCAACCTGCACTTAATTATTTCTGGCATTAGATAAACAGGGTGCATCCGTCCAGGGAGAGAGTGCCCATTCCTTTCCAGACCTGGAGAAATTTCCATGTGTAACTCTGACTGGTATGGAGACTGTTAAGTGTGGTGATGGGTTTGCGAATATGCCAGATACTCGGCTGGTGGATTTGGGGGGATGTGGGATGGGTGGAAGGAGTATTCTAAGCAAGGCTCCAGCGTGAAAAGTATCCAAATTTATGCTTGTGTTCTCACCGAAAATCCTCTGCACAATGCGGAGAACAAACGGTGTTTGTCAACTTGCTGTTCAGAGGGATCCTGAAAGTCCAAACCGAGAGCAAGTACAGAAAAGGTGCCTTTATGTGGATTGGTTCTCTGCGATGGTTGCCGTCCTCTCTCTGAGGAGGCCAACACCAATTGGTGTGTTAACGATTACTGAAAAGCAAAGATCATGGATTTCAAAGAACAAACTTCACTAAACCTCTAATGCATCTAATCCTAAAGTCAACTATCCTCTGAAAGGCTGATGTTAAGTTTAGCTATTGACCACCGCTGGCTGCCGAGTGACAGAGAACCATAGAGCTTTACAGCACAGCAGAAGGCCATCTACCCCATTGCTTTGCTGCTCTTTGAAAAACCAATTTGTTCAGTCCCTTTTACCTGCCTTGGGTGCGTTGGGGTACCTGCTGGAGTCTAACCAGCTAAAACAGCATAGTGTTTTAAAACATCATTAATATTGCTGTCTGACAAGCCTTCCTGATGCTTTTTAGTTACGCATGAAAGCTAATACCAATCCTATCTTGGCCAGCGAAGCTGTCAGCTATTCTACATCCTGTGTTGTCCACCCACTTCTGACACAAATGCATCCTTTTACCGCTGCAAAAAAAAAGGGTCTTGAGTTATCGCAGAGATGGGCTCCATGAGTTGATATGTAGCTAATCCAAAACTATGGAGAATATTTTGAATTTTGACCACGGATATCGAGGTTGCGAACTTAATGTATTAAAATGATGACATTTGTTCCCCCTTTTTGTTATGTTTTTGTGACATGCCAAGTGAGCACTCAGTCTGATTCACAGAGTCTGCCCCCGGGCTGCTATACTTGGCTGAACTATCCCCCTCCCACCCCTATAACAGTTTGTATATTAACTTTATAGCCCGTGAATGTCGATCTTATTGCTCACAAAGTGACTCAATTACTGCTGGGTGATCTTTGCTTTCAAGGTGGCTTCAGCCATCTCTTGAGAGGGGTGTTACTCAGAATACTTAGGTTTAGCAACATAAGAGTGAAACGCCAAATGTGTTCCTTTCCTGGATCTGAGGCAAATGTGTTGTAGTCACAACAAGGCTACAATGAGCGAGTGTGTGAACAACTTGTCCCCAGGTACACAGTTAATGCACAAGTTTTCTGTTTATTTGGCTCTTACTGAAAATTCATTCATTGGGCAAGCATTTCAGTTGCTCTTTAGGGAAGCCCAACTCATCGATCTCGTCTTTATTTAAAAAGAGAAGGGAACTGGCTAACCGTTCCCCCAGATAAAATTGGCCATTCACTTCATCTGTTTGTGGGACGATGCTGTGCACAAATTGTCTACTGTGTTCTACAAATGCATAGTCACCGCATTTTACAATAAATTTGAAGCATTTTGACACATCTCGATGACGTAATAATCCCACTGTATCAAATGCATGGATTGTCATTATAAGAATGATAATCAGGTCAAGATTCAAGTAGATCCTTTGCAGCACAACGCAGGCCATGTTCAGTGGGGAGAAGGCTGTGTGCTCTGAGCTGCCGAGGACAGTGGAGGAACGTTTGCTGTGCAATTTGAAACCAAGGTTTCTTCCTTCTGCCTGTTCAGCTGAACTTTTTTTTGTCCACAAAAAGCTACTCTATATGTTTAAAAATAAAGGGAGAGTTTCTCCCAGTGTCTTGGGTGACAATTCTCCAGATAAAATGGCCGTTCACTTCACGGCTGTTTGTGGGACTGTGTACAAATTGACTTCCACGTTTGCCTACACAGTACAGTCACTACACACAATAGCAATTCCCTGTGAAGCGCTTTGGGACGTTTTGAAGTTGATGTGAAATCTAGTGAGATGGGTTGATCTTGGAGTGGGGACCAAATCAACTAATTTCTCCCCCCGTCCCTCTTCCCCGATCTTCATTACCACACTGTCTTTTGTGGTTTGTTGCTCAATTCAGTTTGAGGTTTCAGTTCTTACACCATTTGCCAGTATGTACTACTAATGCTGGACCACAGAATCCCCGCCTTAGTTCTCACAATTAAATGTGCTCTTTCATCTCCTGTTTGTATTTGGAAACACTCTGAAATGACCTTTTCTCTTGATGTTACAGTCTTCAGTTGCAGATATTAATGCATTTTTCAAATCCAGTATTTAACTTCAGTCTCTCTGTAATATTTTTTCCTATGAACCCTTGTAGTGTGAGGTGGCAGGCACACACTGCATAAGATTCTAGTTTGTGGTGGTATCTACACATTTTTAAAATGGATTGAACAACATTCATTGTTGTAGATTGTTTTTGCTCAAAACAGACTAATATTTGCTCGGTTGGTTTAGGTGGTTTGTTTTTCTTTATAGTAGAAATTTAAAAAAAACTATTGGCTGGGGGAGGGAGGGGGAAATATAAGTAAGTGAATTTAGTGTAGCCAAAATGCACAGTAAATTAAGCAGGGGGTGGTGTATCATTGTGATGGTCTGTTGTATTCGACCATCAGAGTT